CCACACCGTCTTGAGTACTACGAGGCAGGCTCTCATTGCTTATTCACTGTTCGTTCATTCACAGTCCGACTCCATTGTAATTTTGTGCATTGTATTTTTGTCTATTGCAAGGTTGCCATCTCCCTTGCGCCATTTCTATTATTCAGCTTCAATTTCGAAGTTTTTTCGCGGGTAATTGCTGTGCACCACCGTAAAACGAGAGGGTAGTTGGCAGCGGGGAGGTTACAAGGCACAATAAAATACTTACAAACATTTATACACACGTATATACATATACTTATATATATAAGTACGCAATTATTTGTATACATTACCTTTTAAGTTGTGTTTTGCCTTCCTTTAAGTCCTTTAAGTATCTCCCCTCATCAACAGCGCTGACTTTGCAGTTCAACCAATCGTTGTAATTGCTTGTCCGACAAATTAATGCGATTATTTTTACGTGGCGAAAATAATCCGTCTGTAAGCTCATTTGACACTTTCACGCGAACTCGCTGCGCAATGCGATTCCACACCAAGTTCATTCAATTTCGAATGACAGTCAACCTCCCTCGGGCAGCCGAAGCGTGCTGCCTCCCATTGCATTCACCTCGTATCGGAAATCTAAACGTTATTTATCTCCTGCTCTCAAAAAGTATAATTCTATTTGATTCTATTATCGCTTAATTAAGTTAGTAAGGTTGGAAAGCTTTCAATGTGTAGTGCAAGTGACTCAACTATTCAATAGGTAACAACAGGTAAAAAGGGCAGATCTTACTTTCTTCGCAGTTTCAACTAAATGCAATGATAAACATTTTACGAAATGAAGTAAGAGTTTCATGTATATCTAAATCTAAATATTTACCAACTGAAAACACAAACTACTGAAATAAACAACAAACAAAATTGAATGAGTAAAACATACATTTATGCACACAGCCTGCAAATATGTACGCCTCAAACGAACTTAAAACGGCTGCAAATATGTATTCACACACGCGTATTAATGACTGCAATCCTTCTGAGCCTAGACAAACATCCTTGCGCTTTGCCAGCGGCCAATGTAAGAAATTAACGATGAATGAGCTCACGTGGCCCGATTGCTTGCAGGCGTTTTCTTAAGAACTTGATGATGGACCGACCCCATATGTTCTTTGAGACTTACGCAGTTCAAAAGGGGCTTTGGCAGCTTTGTGAGACAGCGCGACGGCACAATTTTCGCTATTAATTTGTGTAAAAGCAAACAGCACAGATTACTAAGGATACAAAACAGCATGATGATGTCAATAATAGACTGGGAACTGAGCTGAGCTGAGCTCAAATGTGATGCGGTGAGGTGCGGTGAGGTGAGGTGGCGACAGCGAATAATGATTGGAAGGAACCCCTTATGTGAAATCAAACACCCGGGGACATCAAGACCATGTGCGCATACATAATTGACGTTGAATTCGGATTCACTTTAATCTTTCCTGTGATTTGTTTGGCTTCCGTCGTTGCTTAAGAGTTTCTATTTGGTCATGAATGATTTACAATTGTGCAACTAAGCTGGAGTTCTACTTTATTATTTGACTTTGCATTTGATCCTGCATAATGTTGCTCCAAGTGGGGTGCTGCTCATATTTCATGACGTCTTTCACATGTTCGGAACAAGTGTTCCGGTCGTTGGTACCAAAGGCGGTTTTAACATAATTTTGTGAATCAAAGAAAAGGCACTGGCATAAATTCTTTATTCATTAATAACGTAAATGCACCAATGAGTTTTCAGCCAAAAGTAAACAAAAAAAAACGCGAAACAGACAACCAGGGAGGCATTCCAGTACAGAGCCTAGTCCCAGGCTCAGGTCCAACATGGTATACCACCGACCGCTTTCCATTTGACTTGTCGTGTGCGCCGCGTTTCGATTCGTTTGTGGTTTTTTGATCAACATCATCATCATTTTTCGTATGGATGATTAATTGAACGAAATTCAATATTCACAATTGAATTGGTTGCTGGCTCGCTGCTTCTTACTTGGCATTGTTCACAGCATTCACAATGTCCCGAATCCGATTAACTTCGACTCGTCCGCCGTGTTGTTGTTGCTGTTCAGCTGGCTGTAACTGGCTAAGGGCGCATTGCAAAAGGGTTTAAAGCTCGCATATTTTTAACAGACATCCGCCGGAAATGTGTGTTTGCTACCCCAACAAAATTATATAAAAGAAAATTTATTTTAAAACTCAGCAGTTCACAACACAATAAATCCATATTCGGCATGTGGCTGGCTATTCGTTAGGGCTTATTTTCTCAACCGAGTGGGTTTTTGTGTTCTCTCACGAAATACGAGAAAACAATTGGCAAATCAATTTACTCGAAGCTGATGTGCACATTTCGTGAAATTATTTTCTGACTAATTCGACTGTCACTCAGTCGAATGACATTATTTCTAATCATGTTGATGTAAGGTCTATGTAGAGCTCATTGATTTAATTAAGTTTTGCACTTGACAATTGATTTACTGCAAAAGGATTACATATTTATCTCAAATCCAGAGCATTTATAACAATAAAAACACACATTTGTTTAAAAACATGCTAAACTATTTTCAAAATTGAAAATATATTTAAAACGATTTAAGTCAGCTTTAAGTACGCAAGAATAAAACTTGAGCCTCAAATAATCTCCAGTTAATCTCATTTGCTTAAACCGGCTTAAACAATTTTTAAACAAATGAGATATATTTACAACATGACCTACTAAGCTGCATTTTATGACCTACTTTTTGCGACTTAAGATATTTGAACGCTTTAAAACTTAAACATGCACCAATTAAATATATTTAAGTCCAGAAGTACTGTGCACATTTATTCCCGTAGGGCCCCGTTTTAATATAGAGTTAAATTTTGATTTCACTTTCGCTTATACATTATAGCCATAAAACATATATGCGCATAACCCTGGACAAACTAAGCTGCAATGTATGTTTGTCCCGACAGACAACACAGAAGTGATTGGCAATTTGGTAATGATAGCCTCATTGAAATTCGATGGGAGCGCAACAGGATTAAGGAAGCTGGTTGGAGCAGACAGCAAACATTTGCATGCACAATAAATCAAAACGATCCAATAACTTTTTCGAACAGGCTGCTCAGTCATATGGAAAACCATTGAGCTAAAACGCTGTAAAAATGGCTTAAACAACTTTTTAGCAGTCACCACGGCAGAGACATGACATTTGGGTGGGCATGGTCATGTGTTATTTAAAACGAACAAATTAAACTGGCAATATTGTATGTGCATTAACTAGTCGCATATAAATCTGTTATAATGACACAGGGATAAAAAGCTTAGGCGGCCTGGAGAAGTTAAAATAAAATCGAAATGGGCTGCTCACTTGCACATTCGCTTTCAACTGGTGCTCACTTTGCCTGCGTATGCCTATGTCTGATCCCCATTCCCATCCCCATCGCCATCTCAATCCCTGGGCCCAATCCCAATGCCAGCACAGTATTGCGCAAGGCCGTAAAATTACAACTGCGCCACTTTTGGCTTTTACGGCACCATAAATCGAAACAAAAGTGTCGTTTAGCAATTGAAAGCGAAAGGCAAAAAGTAAAAAAAAAAAAAACTCGAGTGCCAGACCCAGCTGACCCTGTGTGAAGCCCAAAATTTAAGCCAATCTCAATCTAACGCAGATCTGAGAGCTGAATTGCGAGTGTCGGGATTTCAGGCTCAAAGCCCACAATTACAGCACTAAAGGAAAAAAAATGCACATGTCCATTATGACTTCCGGCCTGAAGGTTGATGCTCGGAAGCTGCTGCAATCAAAGTTCTCGCCATGCTCATATACATTTCACGTTGCGGTAGAGTGCGGCGTAATTAAATTAAGCCAAAGCCACACCGCACCGAGTTGCCAACCCAACCGAATTGGGTTACACTCCGCCCACTTAACACCACCCGCCAGCCATTGGGATTTTCGGCCACAGTTCCACCAACACTTAATTACTTTTGATACGTGACAATTTAATCCTTTGCTACTACGTAGCCGAAAATCGATGTCAGAAACCACTGAGTGGTCATATGCCAGAGGCGTTTCATACACACACATTAAATCCTGATATCAGACCAATTTCTCTATTTAACCAAATGGCACAGTTTCGGATCAAATTACGGATAATTAATATACTCGAATGTTATTGCATATATGAGCTAACTTAATGATAATGATTATATTTACACCAAGCAGCCATAAGCGGGGCTTAATGGGGCATTAAATTGTTTTTATTGCATATATAGAAGGAATATAATAATGATCATTATTAATTTTTAAGAAGTTCGAGTCTGAAAAGCTTATTTTTCGTCGAGTATATTTAAGGATTCTTCTATGGATACCTCGACTAATTGACTTCTTTGTAGCCCAGGGTAATGTGGACTTTAGCTAAGATTGCCCTATGCACGTTTCAACACCACAATTCAGAGCTTATCTTTATTCTTTTATATCTTAGATGGGCAACATAATTTACAGATATGCTTTTGTGGGCACTTTGCCACCTTTTATGGCCAGCCCTCAAAAGTATACCCGCAGAGAGCGGGATTCGCCCCCGCTACGGCCTACGACAAACACAATGACGAAGGTCCTTTATATACCCGAGCCTTTTCGTTTAATCACTGCGCTATTATTAATCATTCGATTGTATTCCCAAGGCAATTATGTTAATGCGCAGCACATTTTTAATTAACCAAAACACATACAAACGCACACACACACACTCGAGCATATGAATTTGCACATACGCACACATACAGACACGCAGACATTATAAAACCACACACACGCATTCAAAATGGGTTAAAGTGATTATGGTTGAGTGAGGCGATTAAGGATTTGAGGTATATGGTAAATTGGTTAGGTGCTCCAAATTCCATTGCTTCAATTGAACCTTGGAATTCCAATGCCAACCTGAAAGCCAACCTGCCAATTAAACCCACTGAGAATACAAAAGAATTTTAAGAATTATATTATATTTAATGGGTTTGGAATGAAACATCAATATGGATGGTTTCTCGTCTATGGACTGCCCCAAATCTACGCATTAGATCATGAAAGTTTCATGCATTCCCATCATAGTAAATTTGACTAAATGTTGGTAATGTGAGTTCAACAAGATATATTAGCTATATAGTTGGTAATAAGCGATTCTACATTAGATCCTATGAAGGTAAAATTAATAAAATTTTATGAAATAGTCACAATATTATCTAATTGCAGGAATGCTTACCGTAAAAATATCTCAATGTTAACTTTCCCCTTACCCGCTTGAACTGTTTAAGTGAAGTTCTCTCCCATAAAGTGTCAAACTTTTCGCATAAAAGGTAACACCGAGCATACATTTAAGGATCTGTACACACTCATACCCACATTTATATGCACATTTACATATTTGCGAGAACATAATTGTCTGCGTGACGCTGGGTCTGTGTCTGGGTCTGAGAGTTAGCAAAGTCTTGCATTTTCCGTATCCTGCTCCCGTCTGCGTTCCAGGCCATGGCAATTACTGTGGCTACGGCCCTTGCGTAGCCCACAAAAACTGAAAATAAGTAAATTATTAAATGCAAATGAATCTCCTTGTCAAATTAATTCCCCTCCATCTCTCTCTCTCTCTCGGCGCTTCTCTGTTTTATAATTACACATTCTCGTTCAGTTCCGAAGTGGCATAGCTCATTGCATCATTATGAAAATAAAACAATTCGCATAAAATTATTGTTTATTGCGTAATTGGACTCGGATAATTAAGAGTTGAAACTGACTGCGCGAATTAAACAGATTTGTAATTGCACCGAGCTCTGGAAAATTACATTTCAATTTGTTAAACTTGTTCTGCATCAGAATCTGACAGATTAATCAGTAACTTTTGTCGGAAACTGTTGCAAAGCCTCGGCGAAATATGCGCATTTGGCAAACCAAAAAATTCTATTACAAATTTACAAATAGAGAATATACGCTCTCCCCTGGACCGCACGAATGCAAATCAAAGTTCAGAACTTTGCGCCCCCAAAGTGCGGAAACTTGCACCGGGTGTACCGGACATGTATGCAAAGTATGTTTGCATCTAAATTGAGCGTACAGACAACGGCGCAGGTGGCAAAAAGCTCCGGCATTTCAACATATAAGGACAATCGATTTTCGATTATCGTTTAGGGCGTTCCAGCTACCTAGCTTGAGGCTGCAATTGAAACTTGATTGTGGACACGGAACCAGCCCAAACGCTTCAGCAAACGCAAACACAACAAAATGACAGAGAAATTGCAAGCGGAGCAGTCCGGGAAATGGGGGCAAGGGTAAGCATGGGCAGGCAACGATTCTTTGCATGTTGTTTCGAGATAAACGTAAATCGGTGCCTGACAACAAAACACAACGCTGGCAAAATGCAAAGAACAAAAACAAATGAATGCATTCAATGCATTTATTTATGCCTTTACCTGAGTATGGAAATAGTAATTGTTATAAATTCCAAATGCATTTTCGATGCGTGTAGAGGCTGGCACTCCAGCATGAGGTGTGTCCTGTGTTTGCTGCTCTGCCGTAAGGGTCGACAATTGGCTAGGAGATCACAGAGTTTTGCATTTCACTGAGCTATATTGAAAAATACACATAAACAGAAAATTAAATTTTAGCTGTCATCGTACGTGACTGGAATACAAAACAACAATATTGCGTGTGTGCGTGTGTGCGTGTACACTTTTTACTGGTATTCAGGTAATAGTAGATTTTCGGATTTTCAGAGTCACGTGAAAATGTGCGAAAATGTCTTTAAAACGTGATAGCATATGGGCGATAGTGCTGGAAATTGTGTAAATGGTCGACTATTTAATGGAATTCAAATGTAAAATCAAAGTTAAGATAATGCAAAGCAAAGCCCAGGTAACTCTAAAGTATTTACAATCTGATTTCTTGAAAAAGATTGAAAGACTCAAGAAGCACGTGGATTAACTAGTCTCGAACTTGTCAGACTCTAGATAATAGGGATTAATAAAGAGGACACCCTGGGCCAACTAATTGGAATCGAATTTATTATTTATAGCACTATATGAATACAATAATTCATGCATCTCATTCTCGCTAGCAGTTGAAACTAGGTATATAATACCTTTGAAAATGCATAGCAGTTGCATGCAACCTCGTATTTGCAACCTTCAATGCAGCCCGCATGTCCTTAGCCTAGGCTGACATAATATTTATTTTTTATTTTACAGAGTTTCCATTGTGAAGGGAATTTAAAATAATGCCGACTATATTTCCATAAAGCTTTTTTCATGCTTATAGTGTACTGGAGGGTACTACATGCATATATTGAATAAATTATTGTTTACAGTACTTTCAGTATGCCATTAGGGTCTCGAGGCAGGGCTGGCTGGGTCCTTTTGAGCGCTTTGACTAGGTGCGTCTGCCCAGGGTGCATCTTTATTTAGCGCTGTTTGATAACCACAACCGATGCCATTGTCGCTGCGGTCTGAATTTTAATTACAGTTCTTTGAGTAGCAAGGACGCTTGCATCATTTTAATGACACAAAGTCGCTTAGGATACACACACCGTCTGCCTCCGTCTGCGGCTACGGCTACGGTACTGGAATGCACCCGAGTAAATGCAACTGAAGTCGGGGCGCGCTTTGCAACCTGTTTGTGTCATATGCAAATAGACATCGGTCTTAGTATCCTTTCTGCTTTTGGTATGCAGCAGCTGCAACGGCAGCCAATGATGAGCAGGACCTACGGATTTTGTGCGTGCCACAGCCACAATGGCAACCCAATCGACCCTAGCTGCAGATGAAAGCCTGAAAACATGGAATGCGAAGTTGATGCACCAAGCTCAAATGCCCACCGGCAGACATACTAATTGACGGTATGCAATTTCCCATACAATCGTTCGTTGATTCAGCAAATATTTGGAGACATCAGGTTTTTCAAAACGCAAAATGAACTTTACCGTCGGATGAAGAAACAACTGCAGGCATTTGGTCCTTCATCTAATTAAATCGACATTGAGCCAATGAATGGCTTTAAAGCATTGCTTTGAAATCAATGGCATTAGGTCATCCCCAATTGCCAATTGGCAAGATATTTCCAAGTGCCCTAATTAATCAGTCACAACATATTCATTTGCATATTACGCATAATGGGCGTCATGCTTACAGCTGCACAGCTTGAACTGCCAACACATACACTGAGCGAAAATAATTGAATCTTTCCATCTTGAGGTCATATTCAAAATACAACATCAACCTGGTTAAAGCGCAATAGTATAGAATAGAATTCCATGATTTGCTTTCATATTGCAACTTCCGAGATTTTTTTTCTTAGTGTACGTATGCAATCATATTCATAGTATACAATATGTACTATACACAATATATTCACACTTCGACTAGAATGAATAGTTTCATGCGTCAGTGAGGACAAGGCAGGGGCTCGAGCTCGGACTGTGCCTGGAAACAGGCAGGGAGAGTGAGATTGTCTGGCGCCACCACAAAATTAATAGACTTTGATGTCGAAGCCCGACAAACTCATTTTGAGAGCTGCCGCGCCCCCCAAGTGGGGCCGGGCAAATGGGACGCATGCCGCATAAATTTGGCAGATTGAGCACTGAAATAATGTTGCGTCTTGGCGCAGTAACGAAATGAACTAATTTGTTATAGAAATCAAGTTGCCATTTGCCTGGGCCATTCCGCTGTCATATCCAATATTAAATCAGTAATGTTTGGCTGAACAATAATGGCCTGTTTTTTGAATGACAAGGGGCGGGCCACACATGGCCTTAGACAATATAGTAATTCGTAAGACAACAAAATGTCTAGCCGCTGTACCATACAACTAAAAGAAAATGCCAACGAACTAGAAGACTAGACTAGACAAGACTAGAGGATACCCTGTAGTTCATAAATGAGCTGAACAAACATTCTTAGTCAAAATTCTGACTAAGGTTTGAGTTGCCATCTTTTATCTGTAACAAGCTGGTATCCACTTTTATCATCCCCCTTTTCTGTCCATTTGAGCAAGCAAAGGGCATTCAAATACTAAGAACAAGCTGGGCTACGGATGGAATTGCCTTTTGGTACTATCACTCGTATAAAAGTGGCATAAGAAATGCGAAAATCCGACAAAAACGAGCGGGTAAGCGAATCGGAAGCGACCGTCTCATCATTATAAGAGAAAATTGTTTTTGAAAACGTAAATCGAGGACAAAATGACCAGAAGCCTACGGCATGTCATCGCAACAATGGCCCAAATAGATAGACAAACAGGCTCTAAAAGAAACTTGATGAACCGACCAACGCAGGCGGTGTGTGGTGTATGTGTTGTGTGTGTGTTGTGTGTGCGTTGTGTATGTTTGCTGATGCTGGTGGTTGCGGTGGTTGCGGTGGTTCCGGTGCGGTAATCATATTTATTTTTGGTCTTTGGGGTTTCAAATGCATTCGAGTGTAAAAAAAATGCTTTAAACTTATTTCGGTCGCTTGGCTGCTGAAAAAACATGAACCTAACTTTGAACTTGTATCAGGTGTAATTTCAGGTGGCAATTCTTATGCAGGCATTTTATTTTTACTTCGCTCTTTTTGCAATTACAGATTTGTATAATATTTTCGGAAATTTCCCCAGATGCTATTGAAAGACTCACGTGGCGGGCTGAGTGTGCTTAAGTTTTACATTTTTATGCTGGGGCAATGCCAAACGTTCCATTGGCCCCTTGAAACTAATTCTTTTTTGGGCGTGGCACACAAAATGCACTCAATTTGACAGTTTACAGAATGCGACGAATTTTTATACATTTCATAAAGTTTACCTGAAACGCCAGCTGCGAGGCATATGCGCACACAGGTAAGTCCCTTTACGTATACATATTGGATATGTGCCTGTGTGTGTACATAAAGACACAAGCCCTGAAAAGCCGCCGCATCTCGAGCAGCAATTTGAAAAGGCAAACGACAGTTGAGCAAAGCAAAGCGATTTCATTAAAGCTTTTGAAATATTAAAGCACATTCAATGAGTGTGCGTGTGTGTGCCTCTGTGAGTGTGAGTGTGTGCGTGTGTGTGTGTGTGTGTGTGTTTGGGGTGGCTGAGTGGGCGGAATATGGGCATATGTTGGAGCTCGCAGCACTACTGCCGCATACCCAACCTCAACATGTTGGGGCGCACGTAAGTTGGAGGCGAGGCGATGTTTATTTGTTTGTTTGACGTCCTTGCTGTGTACTTGTGGGCGCGTGTGGCACATCCTTGCCTTGCTACCTTTCTGTTATTTCAGTCCTTTTGTTGTCGCTGGAGTCATCTTTTATTTCATTTTGTCTCATAAGTGTCAGAGCATGAAACGGACAATATAATTTAAATTCTGTATGCAAATGTGCGATGCCACACACACACAGACACACACACACACAAATACACACGCACACACTTACCCAAACGCACTGATGGCAAATGTGTTATCCTGCGCCGCCATTGCATTCGGAAATGCCAAATTTACAATAAAACCAAAAAATTTGAATAACTTATTTCACCAAGGAGTCGCTCGGGCTGCTGAACGGGCGGCCAGCCAGTCCGAGGAGCACCCCATGAATGCCATGGCATGTGGCAATTTCGACCGGAAGAGCCAAAGTCTGTGAATAATTCATTTAAAACCTTATTTATTATAATTTTATATTAAGTACATGCAGTGGTTACTTTATTGCATTGCTGTTACAGCTCGAGACAGGCAAATGAAAAAGCGAATTTCTTAAATTGAAAACCACAGGCTGACAGCTAATGCCTCACCGGAAATTAATTTAATGTATTTGGCATTTTATTGAAAAATCTATTGTGAAGCATCTCAGATGTACCATGGAATATAAAAAGTGTCAGAAACATAATAAGAATTGGGAGCGCAGAGGCATGGTCGCGATTTAGGTTGGACAACGATGCAGCAGGGCCATCAGAAACTAAAAATCAATCAAGAAAACGTAAATTTAGGATAATTAAAGAATTCGGGTTTCTTTTTTTATCGTTCAGCAAGCGGGACCAACCTTTCTAGTCACAGGCGGAGCTAAGCCCAGCGACACTTTTCTCCTCACTTTGAGGCTCAGCACATCTTCGACAATATTGCGTGCGTTCTGTTAAATACTTTTATAGAAAAATTGGGTGTAGTTAGCAATGACATCTTCAACCTATCCTGCGTTAGGTGGCATTATGAAAAATGGGACGACCCATTTGTGAGATGATTTTAATACCCGCGGGACACTAAAAAATACATGCACATCAATATCCAAATATCCAAAAGTCTGAAATCAATATTTGTACAATATATTCAACAACCTATGCCATAAAATATATGCGAGTTGGTCACAGACTCAATGCTGCATTTGATGTCAAGTATTAATCGCTTTTAATATGCTGCCACAAATGAGTTATGGCCGGGCTGATACGCTGAATGGCCTGGTCATAAGCCGCTTAAGAGTGTTACAGAAGATGAACCATGGCATTTATTTAGTGACTGACTGACAACAACAACAACAACAACAACAACAACAACAACAACACAGTTGCCAACTGCCATTTGCCAGTTGCCAGTTGTTGTTTGTTGTTTGTGCTAGCCACTTGCTGTGCTTGTTGTCAATTTTAAGTTTCATTAATTTGGTTTTACGCGCGAGGAACCAAAAACAATTCGGCAGTGTCAATATTTTGGCGCCGGCTGTTGCACCACAGCGGCCCAACAACATGTTGTAATGGAAAACAAACACGATGGAGTGTACGGCAAGGGAGAGGGATAGCAGCAACAACAGCAACAACAATGGCAACAGCAACAGCAACAGTGAAGGCAAAAACAATAGATCCGCTTGCAGCTGCGCTTGCAGCCTTAACAGTTCGGCTGTTAAACTAAAACAAAAGCTTTGACAGACAAAAATGGACGACGCGACAACCACTTCGTACTAGTTCGCAACCACTTCAAGCTGGCGGAAGAACAACAACCAACTAAAACAAAGTCGCCTCTGGCCCAAAACCGCGACCGCACTCCCCAATTTGTGTGTTTTTTTTTTTGTATGCTTTGAGCGGAAAAATTGACAGTGGCTGCGCCATATGGAATGGCAAAAGGAAAACGCCGAAGCATAGCCGAAAGGCTTGATTCAAAAATTGTTTGGCTGTTATTAGTTTCTCGGACTTGCTTGAGACGATTTTAATTAACGCCGCCAATGAGTGCAGCGCAGTCGGCCAGCCAGACAGCCAGACAGACAGACAGACAGACAGACAGCCATCCAGTTGCTGGCACGTCCAAGGCAATCCTTTTGCCTCCTCGCATCCTTGTGCAATTAGCAGATAACTCCCGAAAAGTTGCATCTCACAAAGCAGGAACAATACAGGACTTTCTTCGAGGACTTTGTGCAATCTGTGGCAAACAGAAATGCCTGACAATACAACCAAGTTCGTTTATCTTGAGAAATGCAGTTCATTAATATGGTATTAATTGCATTAGACTGGCAAATATCTATCTACTGCCATGCATAAAATATTCAAAATATTCCAAATAATAGCTAGGCAAGAGAGGGAGGTGTAGTCGAGTGTGCTCGACTACAAAATCGCCTGTACCTTTTTGTTGTTTTGTCAACACGCTTTTGATTCTTCTAGCCAGGTACTTATAACCTGATTCTGATATTATGATCTACATATTTCATGCTTCAAGACTCTAGGTTTTTTAAATCCTAGGATCGATGCAGGCGGACACACGGATATCGGCTCAGTTTGACATCTTGATCAAGAATATATGTACTTTATAAGGTCGGACATGCCCCCTTCTGCCTGTTACACACACATCAGGAGTGCACGGACCTTGTTTCATCCTGACTTTTGGTGGTGGCAATTCAAGGAGTTTCGTGCTGGTTGTGGTTCGACGTGAAGTTGCGTTATTCAACCGTGTGCCGTGACAGAAGAGGTCTCAGATAGGACTCCTGCCATACCAAGACGCAAGGCACAACCAAACTGTCGTCTCTTTCAATTGGTATCGTATAATGGGAGCCGTGAGATTGAGCCGAAATTAGGCCCGTTGACTTAAATGCCTGTTACATACATTTGCACGAAACCAGTATACCCCTTTTTACCCAATATCAATGGGTACAAGCGTAAAAGCACATGATTTGTAAATGATTTTCAAGCTTAACCTCTTAGATCAGCTACAGCTAAATCCGAAAAGACAGCTTTAAATGTTTGCCATAAATTTTCCATGTAAATTTATGTACTTACACAATCTCCAGCTACACAACAAGAAAACTTACTAAAAAATAAAATAAAAAGTTTGAAGAAACATTAAAAGTCGGTTTGCCTTTGCATTTAAATGGAAAATGTTTTGCACATAGAAAACTTTGTTTCATTTAACAGAAAAAAAATCACAATTTCCAAAGTACAACTTAAGGTTAAAAGACACGCCTCTGTTATCCTCATGTTAGTTATGACAAGGACACAGAGAAGATGGATTTTGTTGCGATTAGTTGGGCATATTTGTGCTTAACTCAAATTGCGCAGACACACTCACGCATACATGCATATGTGTGTGTGTGTGTAAGTGGCCACTAATGTCTTGGGAATCTGAAGATGCCACGCCAAGTGTTTACATTTAATTCGTTTAAATGCACGAAATGTTTGTTTAAAAAAATCCACTTATTATACCCTGTAGCCATAAATGATTAAAAACGATATTCGTTAAACGCTCGGCAAGCAAAATATGCCTTTATTTTCGATCAAAGTTAAGAAATTTAATGTATAAAGCAATTTATGATTTTCTTAAACTTATATACTTGCATATGCTATTTGTACCCTGAAAACAAAATATATCACTTTATATGGTGACAAATCTGAACAGAGGGTATTTCATAGTCAGACACTCGCGCGGTGTGTATTTCAGGTATTATTATATGAAAGTGTTAGCTGTTGTATTTGTACAGCAATACGCCTCCTCTGAAAAGCAGACTGTGCTTTTAAATATGTTGAGTGAATAATAATTTGCTCGATAAACAAGAGTGTGCTTTATTTATATGTTACAAATTACTTTACTTGCAAGGAATTCTAAATGTGTACCTAAAAAGGAAATTAATTCAACTGGTACCTAATTTCCCAAAAATCGCATTTATTAAACATTCCTCACGAAAACGGTTCGAGTATTGGAAAACCATAGTGGTTAATTTCATTCTTTTGCGACAAACTCAACAGTTGACGCCTGAACGCTCGCAGCAGCGCAGGCTTTGACGTGCGCTCTAGTGTGCTCCACTGTTGCTCAACGCGGCTTCAACAGGTGGTGCTAATAACTGAACAAATATCAATAGATGTCGCCATATGCAATTACTGCGTAATTTCGAAAATTTTTCAACTAAAAAAAAACGTTTATTTAAATATAAATATAATTTTAATATTTTCTGACTGTATAAAGCTGTGGTAAGAAATCTACATTTTATTTATAAAACTCATATGTACGTGTAACTGTGCAGCCGGATCGACTCTCGGCCAGATTTATAGGCCATTTCTGGCCATGCTGTCTGTTATCCATTGCACATAGTGTGCCACATTAGTGTAGAGACCCGGCAGGCTGATCTGGCCGCAGGAAGTCACGCCCAAGCTAACAATGCCGAACTCCACCATGCGCAGCTTGTACTCGTCCAGGTAGAGGGCGGGCGCCTGCAGCGGGCCACCCGAGTCGCCCTTGCAGGAGTCCTGCAAATCGCCGCCGCCCACACAGAGCTGACTGGAGGGCACCTCGCGGCGATAGGTCTGGGAGCAAGCCGAACGGCTCTGAATAGGCACTTTGGCCTGGAGCAATACATCCGAGGTGGAACCGTTCTCGGTGGTGCCCCAGCCGGTGACAAAGTAGTTGGGCAGCGACTCAGCCTGCTGCTTCAGCTCATTGCTTATGGGCAGGCAGATGGGCTTAATGTGCTCTGCAAGAAGTGACGAAGTGGTGGCTTAGCCTGGAACAATGGATAATGCTGTGCCCGCAACTTACTCTCAAAGGTCACGGTCTCGTTCAGGCGCAGCAAGGCAATGTCGTTCGTAACTTGCTTGGCATCGTATTTTTCGTGCAGGATGAACTTCTCAATGCCCAGATCCTTGACGGGGGGCGCGCACTTCTCCTTGCGTCCCTGCCGTCGGCAGTCCCGCTCCGTGGAGATGCGATGCTCGCCCAAACGAATCTCATAGCTGGAAGAGTGTTAAGCATATAGACATTTGTTTTGAGCCATGTCAGCTAGAGCTCCAATACTCACAGCTGTTCCTCCAGTCCATACACGCAATGGGCGGCGGTCAAAATATAGCCTACGAATAATTATCAGCTCAATATAAATAAATATGCTATATGGTTGCCTTACGGTTCGAGATGAGTGTGCCGCTGCACAGAAAACGAGATTGACCCAGGCTTTGATATCGGAGCAAGGCCATCCAGGGCCGGGAGGACAGCTGCACCTCGTAGCCATTGGCCACGCGCTGATTGAGAATGGAGCCGCAGCTGAAGTTGGAGCTCTTAAACAACTCCATGACCTTGGAGTTGTGCTGTATCTGTGGCGCGGGGCAGCAAAAGTGTCGCTTCAGACGAAACAAAAGATTGAGTTAAGCCGCCAATGGAACGCATATCGCCACTATTTACCATTCCGTCGAATTCGCCGCAGGATGCCCGCTGCAAATAGCTGGCATACTCCGGCGGCAAGCGCTCGCCGTTCTGTTGGGCGGCCAGGAGACGCTGCTCAATGTCCGCGCAGGAGGAATATGGCATGCACTGGCCCCGCACGCCGTTCGGGGTCTCACAGTCATCCGCATAGGCTATATGAACGTCCGTGTACACAAGCAATTAATATGTTAATCAGTAAAAACGCGTCATGAGAAGTTTTTCTAGCTCACCTGCCCAAGCGGATCGAGCGCCAATCAGGCAGACGACGGCGAAGGCGGCGGCGACGAGGAAGCTGCAGCGCAACATCATATACATATGTAAAAGTGCGATAGTCGATAATCGATGCCTGGCCAGATAACTAGCCGAACGTGTGCTCCAAGTGCTACTAAGCGCAGCGCGCTCCAAGCGCGCACTTTATACGAGATGAGCTCGGCCAGCTTGAAATCTCAGCTCATCTCTCTGAGTCGAGCATTGAGCACTTGCCCTTGTTTGATTGGTTTTCCCCCTTTTGGTAGCCCGGCCACAAGTGTTTGGCTTTCTTTGACAAGCATCAAATGTACGAATTATAATAAAAACATATAAGTATTAATTATAGATTGTATTTATGAAAAAAAAAAAGAACATATGCTGATTAGTCAAGCCGTCCGGGTTTGTTTACATGCCCGCACTCGGCTATAAAAATATAAAAATATCTCGAATTGTTGCTTGGCATTTTCTGAGCAGACTCTCGAGCTCTCACTCAGATCTGGATCTCGAGAGAACCAACAGCTAGAAGGTTGAATCGAGCATGTTTTGCTGGGGCTTACATAAGACGTTCAAGCCGAACTCTAAACACTCTAGATGAGAATTTGAATATTTTTCATAAATCTTAATTAGAAGAGATTTACTTGATGCCTGAATTAAAAATATATTTGCTAATCTCTAAAAGTTGTTACTCATACGACATGTTGAGTTCGTACTAAATGCATGAAAGAGTTTTCTAGGTCGCGTCCAGCCCCAAAAAGTCCACGTAAAGCTGCCATAATATGCATTCCCATGTCTAGACATATCCCATAACCGACAAAGACTCCGCTACAGTTGGTGTCCGGCTACGATCATAATTATGGGAGCTTTCACTGTATATACATAAATATTCTTTATCAGTATCAAGAACCATGTTCGTCAGCTCGTCTGTTTAAGACTATCTTGACGAAACTTTATCGATATGGAAGCGATCCGTCAACAATCATATGATAATGCGAAACTTGATTTCTCGAAAAATTACTTTTTATGGTAAATTGTTGTTCCAAGTACCAAGTACCCCCTCTTCCTGAACATATTTGCAAAGCTATATCTAATATCGGATATGACTTACAATATACTATATTAAATTAATATCTCCCAATTTTCGAGCTTTTATATATTACTTTCAAGTCATATATCTAGCAGGGTATTCGATCTTCGGCGAGTTGATGTTCCTACGTGTTTCATATAAAATCTTTTTATGCCCCAAAATTGCATGATAAAAATATTAGTAGAGCAACCTGTTCCAATTCGCTTCAATTACAATAACCTCGGCATTTCCCAAGAATTATATCAGACTGATCTATGCCAGAGCTACGGGAAATTCTACAAACAGGAAAGCAACTAAAACTCTTAACTCATCGCCGATATTTAAACAGGCAATCAAATGTTTCCAGGGAAGTACGAAAGTCAAGAACACATGTTTATTTCATAAAGTTGAGTACAAACGCCAGTTAAGCAATTGCTCGGAATTTCTTATCAGAATGGAATTAATAGAACCCACTTTAAAAGTAAAAAAACACACGCATAAAAACGTTTGAAATAACCATTTTCCGTATATTTTATTGTTTATCGCACATCAGCGGGTCAATAGTACAATTGCTTGAGGATCACTCCATTTTCTTCTCAGTTTTTAGGGTTTAAGTAATATGATAAACTAAAATTGACTGTGTGTAACAATAAATTATAACAAGGCTATTTAATAAATATCAGACATGGATCAACGACAAAAATAATTATTTCTATAGTCATATATATATATACACATACATATATATTTATATATACGCTATTTGTATTAAATTAAAACTTTTAACTTAGTTTGTTAACTTTTAGTTTAAGAGTTAATGATTAAGGTCAACGGCTGCTCTTTTTTCGTTTAAGGTTGGGCAGAATCTCACCGTTCTGCTGTCTATATATGCCAATATATATGGTTCTATGCGGTCGGTGTGGAGGTTGGATTATTTATAAGATATCTTCGCTTTCTATATGTCAACGAAAGGGAAATAGCAATAGATCAATATCAATCAATTCTTCAATTTTTCATTTGCTTTATAGTTGAGAAAGGAAGCATAGGTTTTCATTGAGAGCCGCTTTTGGAATTAGTAAGCAGTCAATGGGAAAAGCGAGAGTTAAAGTAAGAGAGAGAGAGAGAGATCCAGAAGGAAATTAAAACCAGCAAGCCAATTAAACTTAATTTCAGGTGAAAGATAGGCAAGTCAAAAACAAAGCAGTTAGTAAGTAAACAATTGTGAGATAATTAGGTTCGCATTCATCGTAACATTATCAAAAAAAAAATAAAAACATTCTGTACAGACATATATAATACTAGATAAACATATCGAAAATACATAGTCTCTGTCGCACTTGTCGCTGGCTAACTACTACAGCTCGTATCTATGACTAACAATTTTTATGGGTAAGTTTAATAACAATGTGGAAGTTTGCTTGTTTAATTAGTCACCAATGAAGAGCTGGGGAGCCCCATAGCCGTACGCCGGCTGATCTTAAACCTGGCAACTGACGTGGCAAGTGAATCGATCATATAACATGTAGATAGTGTGAGCCGTTGCAGAAATTATCTAGGCCTAGGCTTGGTTAGTGTTTGGTGCTGTTGGTGGTCGCTTGGAAGTAGTGGTAGTGGTAGTAGTAGTAGTAATACGAAGAGTGGGTTAGAATGCAATACAGAAGTGCCATCAAACGATCAACCAAGAGAACTGAACGATTTTCTTATTTAATAGCGGCAATTAGCGGACTCTCTTCGCCTAAAAGAGAAATAGAAAAAGAAATGTTAATCACTTTTTTTCCCGTAGAGTTTCGTGGGCACTAATTCACGGGTCTTGATGTATGGCATGCGTGGCCAGGTCCAGGTGACTGGCATCGAGCACTCATAGTTAAAGTTGTACAGTTGATCCTCCAGCCACTTGCGCGTGTCCTGCGGCTCTGGGTATGTGGATGCCAAGCCTAGCCAAATGGTATGCGTATTAAGAATAGAAGTTCTCATAGCCGAAAGAAAACATACCCTTATCATAAGCACATTTAGTTACGCCAATGGCAATATTCATGGAGACATCACGAATGCTCGACAGCGGCGGGTACAATGAGCCGCGCTCAATGTCAGCGGGCTCCACAAAGTTGGCCAGCTCTTGGGCAGCAATCAGGAACATATCATCGGGTATGTGATGTGTACCCGTGCATATGACGCCGAGCCCAACGCCAGGGAAAATGTATGCATTGTTACCCTGACCGGGGTAGTAGGTTTTGTTGCCCACAACAACCGGTGGGAAGGGCGAACCTGATGAAAAGATGACGCGAGCCTAGAAATAAACCAGAGGGACGTTTATATCGACCAAGAGACATACAACTTAAGGAACTCACATCCGTGTTGTGATAAGCCTCCTCAGCTGTGCATTCCGCCTTGCTGGTTGGATTTGAGAGAGCAAATATGATAGGCCTTTCGTTATTGTCCGCCATGGTGCGCAGAATCTTGGGCGTGAAGAGGCCGGCGCAGGCTGAAGCGCCAATTAGCACCTGTGCGATAAATTGGCATTAAGTGGAAGATTGTGTTTTATATATAAAACAAATTTACGACATACACTTGGCTTAACAGTCGACACAATTTGCTCGAGATCCTGCATTGGTTCAATGTCCTTGGCATAATTGACCTTGTGGCCATCCAGGTTGCCCACATTGCGCGATGTGGTCAACAACCCGTCAATATCGACCATAAATATCCTACTATATGCCTCCTCGATGGGCACGCCTTCGGCAACCATGCCCTTGACCACGAGATCGGCAATGCCAATGGCTGCCTCGCCGGCGCCCGCGAATAGGAAAGTGTATTCCTTGAAGGACTTGCCCGTTATACGCTTTGAGGCGTACAAGCCGGCCACAGCTACAGCGGCTGTTCCCTGAATATCATCGTTAAAGGTGCAGTATGTATTGCGATACTTGTCTAAGAATCTAAATGCATTGTGATTGCCAAAGTCCTCGAACTGGATAAGTGTATTCTGGCCATAGCGCTTGACAACTGCCTCCATGAACTCGTCGATAAAATCATCGTATTCGCGTCCTACGACGCGCTTTTGACGCAGACCCACGTACAGTGGATCCTCCAGCAGGTCGATATTATTGGTACCCACATCCACCACAATGGGCAGGCATTGATGCGGCTTAATGCCCGCCAGTGCGGTGTACAGCGCCAGTTTGCCAACTGGTATGCCCATGCCGCAAGCGCCCAGATCACCCAGGCCCAGGATGCGCTCGCCGTCAGTTACGCAAATGGCACGCACATTCGGCTCTGGCCAGTTTTTCATCACATCAAAGATATGACCGCGATCATTGAATGTGACAAACAGGCCATGCGGACGTCTGTAGATCAGGCCAAAACGCTGGCATGCCAGGCCCACTGTGGGCGTGTATACAATGGGCATTAGATCCTCAATGTTCTCCGATAAAAAGCGGAAGAACAGGCGCTCATTGCGATCGTGCAGATCGCTCAAATACAGATACTTATTCAGTGGTTCTGTATAGCGGTTAACGGCAATCTTGCACAGCTGTAGCTGCTCCTCCTGAGTCTTGAAACGTGCTGGCTGCAGGCCATGAATACCCAGCACCTGACGCTCCTCCAGAGTAAAGGCCAAGCCCTGTTGATGGGTTAAACCAAATATATAATATATATAGTTACGACGCACAGCTGGGGACAATTCCAGGCACTTACCTTATTCAAGCGAGGATCGCGTATATGATCGATGCCGCGCACCTGTGAGGGGCAGATAATGTCGCCGACAACCTCATGATAGCCACGGGCATCGCACAGCGCCAGCGCCGATAATGCCGGCGGTGTTGTTGTTGGGGTGCTCGTCACGGCTGCAGTGCCGCTGCGGCACAGTTTACCGAGATTTCCACACAAGCTGCAAGCAAACGAAAATCGTAGAGCAAATGTTTATTATTGTCGCAATTGATTCACTGACATTGAAAAGCCAAGGCCAAGGCCAGTGTCAGCTATTTTGAATACTCTTCAAAATAAGCTTGAGCAATGGTATATAAGAGATTGAAAACTGGGCTACATCTGAGACGGTGGGCAGACTCCTACAGTGATAGTCTTCTGTTCTGCTAAGACTTCTCGAATAAAGGTAGGTCCAATAAGAACTTAGCAGAGAATCAAAATGTCTAGTTAGGGATTTCCGCTTGACCAAAGCGAGAGACAGCAAGAAGAAATCTTTGCACGTTTCTTACCATTCAAACTAAGCAAAAATTCTAGAAGAAAATACCAAAATTATCTGCATGCGTCAATGCTGTTAAGTACTTTCACTAATTTAATAATGTCATAACAATCCGATAAATAAGTGCAGTAAAAACTATGGCTATTTTTTGTTTGTGTGGCTGTGTACAGGGTATTCTCAAGTTAAGCACTCTTGAACTGCCGCTATCAATTGGACTGTTTGCCAAAATGCCACTAAACTAAGCCGCAGTCGCATTGTTTACGATGGGGGCGCGATAAGATTTCAAGTGCTACGATAACAAAATGACGACAAACGAATTGCAAATGCTTTCTGGGCGATTTTGCATAATTGCTGCTAATTGCGGCCCCCCCTTGTGACTAATTGAATATGGTTCATTGGCGGCTATGACATGGCCGTGTCCATCTCTCTGGGATTAGGGCTGCCACAGCTAGTAAACCCGTTAATGACGCGCCTCGTGACGTGTTGACTACCCAGCTTGGCCCGATGTGCGCAAACACTCTTGGCTGCTAATTAGCGGCAGAGTGTAAGGGGCAGGCCGGCATAGGCATGGGCATGGGCTCGGGCATGGGCATGGGCATGCTATCATTATCATCATTCGTCATTTTGTTACTATTTGCACAGCCTAACGCCCAGAAGCGCTCACATGAGCGCCAAGTGCTTAATAAATTTGCATCTGCCCCATATACATACACACATTTATATATATATTCATACGTATACTATATATATATATATATATATGTATATATATATAACATATTTTATATCTAATCACTAATACAAATGTAAGTGCATGCCGTAAACATTTCCGCAAGTGCTGATATGTTTATACGACACGCAAATTACGTAAATTGTTTTGATATCACGATATTTCCATATAAATAGAAACAGCTGCTTCTGCCTGTGTTCTGTTTTGATATCATATAAAAAGTGTTATCATTCAACTATTTACGCAATCAATCTGCGCTCTATATTTTGTACTTTTTTCTTTATAAATACATGTTTGAGAACTATTTTATATAGATCTAATTACATATTATTACAGCTGTCATATTGTTCTCGTAGAGCAAACTATTCGCAATATCTTGTATATAATTACTTCGATATTGATTACAAAAGTGAATTAATGCAGAACAAAAAATAACTAAAATATTAACCAAAAATCTTTTAAAAGAAGTAGCATTAATTTAATTATGAACATGTATAAAAATATAAAAATTGTTTAATTATAATAAACTGAATAGTTTTTTAGAGAAACAATAGCAGTTTTACGAACTGAACTTATCAGGTTTGTAAACTTTAAATGTTTGTTTCCCATTTTGACCATTAATTATATTGCCAGACTTTCGTATAAACGTAGTATATATTTACGCGCAACGATGGCATAATCATATATATAATATCGCAAAATATGATGTGTGTGCACTTGCCAAGTGTGTGTATGTGTGTGTGTCAATTAACTGCAATCATCAAACGCTGACCAGGCCAAGAAAATGTATACATTTGGATATCAATATGTAGCCCAATTCATATCAGCATATCAGCTGAAAGCCATAAAGTTATGCGTGATGGTAAAAGCCAAAGAGAAGTCAATGTACTCGAATGTGTTTTGGCCAGAACAAGCAAAGAAAACGAACAGAGAAGCGAAATCAGCAAAGGCAGAGATGGAAGATGAAGCCGCGCAGCGAAAGAATAAACTTTTGAACTTGGCAGCAAAAAAATAGCTAGAAGAACAGGGCACAAGCAACAAACAAAATAATAGCACCATCTTTTGTGTATACTAATCGTAAATATGTAATTGCCAAAATGTATGTACATATATAATTTTAGAATTTGGCAGCAGAAACGTTCAGTTGTATGTATGTATACATGTATGTATCTACATATATATGTATGTATCTGCAAATAATATAAAATGTGTCCATGTCCATGAACGTGAAGGTGGCCTATACAGACGCAAGAGCAAATGCGTTAGTGTTGGAACAGACACAATTAATACACACACACACACAACACACACATGCACATAGAGATTGTTTGTGTATTGATTTTTCAGCTGTTTTGTTATACACATATGTGTGTGTGTGTATAATTGCCGCTATTATTTTTCGTTTTAATTTTACTTTTTTGTTTTGGCTTTTCTTTTTTGCACATTGCCAAGAAAAGCGCACCTGAGCTATCAGCTCTTACGCAATGAGGAAAAGAAAATTAAAAGGTCGCAGCCAACAAGCAGCTGTTGCAGCCAGCGAAAACCAGAAAAAGTTAGGTCAATGCCAAAAACATGTGCGAATCTCTGCCTGCATTAGCCAACACCAACAGGCCAATGCTTGTGACTGTGTGCGTTGCTGTGTGTGTGTGTGTGTGTGTATTGTTAGCGCCAATGAAAACGAAAGCTGCGCACTGCAGGCACTGAGTTTGATGATGACGATGGAGGGTGCAGAGAACCGCCTGCCTTGGCGCACACTCGTCTGCCACGAAAAAGACTAGGTCACTGACAAAAACAGCTGGGACGCGGAACGGTCGCCTGACAATTGAAATTGCATAACAGTTCGTCAATTCGCGTATGTACCAAAAATAGTTGCAAGCATTGCGAATTCCTTTGGCAACTTGATGCCAGGGGGTTCGACTACTGTTGGCTTCGGTTTGATAGCTTACCTGGGTCGTGAGAACATTTTGCGCCTGTGTTTCTAGAATTGCTTATGATGTGTTAACTTAAGGTGTTTTGCTTGTAGCTTGCTTTTGTTTTGACACTTATCACTAGGTAATAATACTTTTTGTTACGCTAAGCTTTTTTTTTACATATGAAACACACGACAATAACCAGCCAGCCACCCTTATTAGGCCCAACAAACAAAACTGAGTATTCAACGCGGCGCGGGCAAAAACTACCTGGCGAAGCTGTCGGCGAATGATGAACGAATGCCGAATTCGAGAAAACGAACAAACGTATGCAAGAAACTTGCGCGGCACTGATTGAAATAAGTGTTGGTTAAGGCATGTGGATGAAAATACTGCCACACTGTAATTATTCCTTATCGATGTATATCGATAATTGTAATGCAAGTTGAAACATTGTGAACTACCTCAATCTTTAAACGATTGCTAAAGGTTTAGGTTTCTTTATTTATTAGTTTTTAAGTATAACAAATATTAGAGCCGTTATAGTGATAATTATAATTTTAGGTATATGCTGCGATCCACTAGACACATAGCTTTGCATGGACACAGTGCTGTCCCCCAATTCTGAATTAGCTAGAGAACTTTTAGTATTCATGGACTCAAATGTGTAAAGAGCGCGAAATCCATTGGCCACAAAACGGTCGTTGGAGTAAAAGGTTACTCGAAAGAAACGCCCATCAGAACGCACTTCGAAGTCTGGTAATTTTCCGCAATATTTGCTGTACTTGCGATCTGTGCTCATGAAATTTGAAAATTCCACATAATCACTGGCCGATTGATGGTCACATCTTAAAAATATAAAAATATGAACTAATATGTTACAGTAACTATAAATATAAACCTACGTGCTAATGCCTTCGACATCAAAGTACGTAAACCGCAGAACAATGCGTTCATCAGCTCCATAAAAGTAATAATTGCATACAATATTCTCCATGTAGTATCCTGGAAAGTTCGGGGAGTGAAATAGGCCACTAATCCGCTCGCTACTGTTGTAAACAAAGGTGCACTCATTGCCCTGCTGCACCCCAGACATAATACCGAAGTCTAAATAAGGGAATTTTAAATTAAAATTGTCTTTAGTTGTATAACGTTTTCATAACTTACTTGTGAGAAAGCGGTACTCTGCGCGAAATCCATAGTACTGCACTTTGTTGGTCATTTTCGGCGGATATTTACCCACAAATTGCAGCTGAAGTTTCTGGCCGCTAGACATCAGGGGCTTGGGCAAAAATGCTCCGCATAGTAATTCTTGAGTTTCGTATTTGCCTCGCACCTCTGCTAACACATGCAATGCATCCTCATCCCGACAGTGGCTGGAATTCTCATGTTCAGTCGGTATGTTGAAGTCATGAAACTTAATTTGTATTTGTTCTGGTTTTTGCCCTTCAAATTCGTAACGGCATTGCACGACCTTAGCAGCATCGATATTTCTACTTATCGATATACCGATAAACGTGCCCAACAGCTGATTCGACTCGAAGATGCCGGACTTGTTGACGCGCGAATCGTACATTTGCCTGCAATGCTCTGAAACAGAGTTAAAAATAAATGTTTTAAGAAACTTATGTTAAAATTGCTAAGGAATTGTAGTTTGTCGCACTTTACTTGCATTAGGAGCAGAGGTATGAGCAGCAAGCAGGCGCGGAATGAGGACAATAAGCTGGACACATTTCGACGTATTTGTGATGAAATAGCCGCAGAGGCGAGCTATTTGCGAAAGGTTGAGAAACTGGAACATTTCCTTAAGAAGGGCAGCAGCGGCTCAGGCTTCCAGGGTGACTTGTTGCAGTGGGTGCAGTTCCTCATACCCGGCGCCACGCAACGTGTGTACAATTTGCAGAACAAGGCATTGCTCAAGTTGTTCGCACGCATCTTCCATGTCGACCAGCAGCAAATGCATCTGGACTTGGAGCAAGGTGAGCAGCATTGAGTACAGGTGCTAAGACCTCTCTAAAATAACCTTTCTTTTAAAGATGGTGACATTTCTGAAACCCTGCGCAAACACTTTGCCAGCTCCAGTAAACTCAAGCCGCAGGCACAGAGCAAACTTTACTTGCACGAAGTAGAAAATATGCTTTGTCAGCTGGAACAGCGCACAAAAGAGGATGAGCAAACGGAGGTACTGCAAGAGGTGTGCAAACAGGCCACAGACTTGGATTTGCGCACGTTTATCAGGCTAATTAAACAGGACCTGCGCATTAATGCACGTGCTAGGCATATACTGGATGCCTTTGGACCAGAGGCCTATCCAGCGTATCAGAGCTCTCGCGATCTGAAATTGATTGTAGAAAATTTCGCTGGAACCCAGGGCAAGCCAACAGTGCTCAAAGGTCTCCCAAAGGCGGCCACCAAAAGCTCGAAGAAGGCAATTGGCGCCATTCAAGTAATGACGCCTATATCGCCCATGCTGGCCAATGCCTGCAAGTCTGTGGAGGAAGCATTTAAAAAGAATCCTGGAGGCCTGTACAGCGAAGTAAAATATGATGGGGAAAGAGTGCAAATACACAAGCACGGCTCTGAGTTTAAATTTTTCAGCAGGAATCTAAAGCCGGTAGTAGAGCACAAAATCAAGGAGCTAAAAGATTATATACCGCGCGCCTTTCCCGGCGCCAGCGACATGATACTTGATTCAGAAATCATACTGGTGAACACTAAAACCGGCGAGTTGCTTCCCTTCGGCACACTGGGCGCCCACAAGAAACATACCTACGCCAATGCGTCAGTCTGCCTTTTTGTCTTTGATTGCTTGCTTTATGATGGCGATGATCTAACACGGCTGTGAGTATGGAGCTCTATTTACACTACCAACCTAATGCTGATATTTATCCCAGCTCATTTTGCAAACGCCGAGAGATTCTGGAGCAAAACATTAAGCCCATCAAACATCACGTACAGTTGTCCGAGTCGCAGTTTTTGAAAACTAAGAATGAGTTGGCATTGATGACTGCCAAGGTGCTTCAGGCTAATTTGGAGGGTGTTGTGCTAAAGAGTCCCGAAGGAACGTATCAGCCGGGTAAACGTAACTGGCTTAAAGTAAAAAAGGATTATCTATTTGGTGGTAAAATGGCTGATACGGCAGATCTGGTCGTGTTGGGCGCTTGGTATGGCTCTGGCAAGAAAGGCGGCGTGCTCAGCATCTTTCTCATGGGTTGTTACGATGCACGCGATCGTCTCTGGAAGACGGTCACTAAAGTGCACTCTGGCCTGGATGATGCCTCAAACGATGAGGTACACGAGTCACTGATAAAACTAACAGAGCGCGCCGATGCCAGCAAAATTCCTAACTGGCTGCTCTGTAAAAAAGCGCTAATACCTGATGTGCTTGCCAAGATTCCAGAGCAAATGCCGGTGTGGGAAATTACGGGCGCAGAGTTTACACAGTCTGAGGCGCACACTGCAGCGGGGATCTCCATACGCTTTCCGCGCATCACGCGCTTACGCAGCGATAAATCTGCAATGCAGGCAAATGATCTGGAACATTTGGAGCAGCTCTATGCAGCCTCCAAACAAAATGTCAATGTAGATCTGCTGCTGGCCAACTGTGAGGCAGACAGGGATGGTGCCCTTAAAAACAAGCTTAAGCTGGAGAAGACGCCCCAAAAGGGCAAAGCACATAAAGAGGCTACAGCGAGCAGCAGCAAAAAGCCAAAGAGATCCAAGAGCGCCTCTGACGATGAGGAGGCAACGCCGTCAAAAGGCCGCAGCTCACGAAAAATGCATAAGCTGGAGGTACCCACGGTTACATCTCAAGGTAATCTTAAAGATTTTTTCAAGCCCAAAATAATGAAAGTGGATGTGAAGATTGAAAACCCGCCACTGGCCAGCACATCGCCTGTTTACAGCAAGGATAGCAAATTATTTAGCGGCCAGGAGGCGCATTTTGTAGCTGATGCAGCCCAGCCTAAGCTCATGGATGAATTTGTGCGTCATGGTGGCATCTTGGCCAAATGTGCAAAAAGGGCTAGCCTGGTATTTCATGACTGTAATAAAAACAAGGATTTGGCGCAGCTCAGGTGCTTATAATACTAGATACGCAAAAAATTCTTGCAATGAATTTAAACTTTGTTTTGCAGACCTCTCTACCGTCGCAGCTGTCGTCATCTCAACATCAAATGGCTAGAGGCTTCGCTCAAGATGAAGACATTACAGCCTTATCCACTCTACGCGGTGCTTTTACAGTCTTAGCCAAGCTTTATGACATAGTTTACTGTTCACTTAGCACCTTAATTATCATATTATTTAAATTTGTACATCTTGTTATATGTAAATTTAATTAAGGTAATTAAAGTAATACGCAATATTTACTATATCATAAGCTCTTATGTCGTAACTAGTGGGGTACCTAATGGAAGCTGTCTTGTTCCAGGTTTTTATTGATTTAGTTGCTTCCGTTCGTCAGATTATCTCTTATATGCCGATAACATTAAAATATTTAAATGTATTTTGTCTCAGGTTGATGTACTGGTTTTCCAGATTGACATATAGCATGTCCGAATGCTGTAGACATAACCAGTTACCATTGAACTTAGCTAAATGCGATCATATCACATTAAGCTAACATTTATATGCACTTATTTCAGCCCACTGTATTATTGATCAAAGTCTTACTCGTACATCTGAAGGCTTACACTTTGGAGTTAGAAGTCTGGGCCTATGCGATATTTGGGTTTGTTAGGCGCAACTCTGCCCAGTTTAAAGACCTGCTCTACGATTATACGTGTCAAAAGACTTGAGCGACTGCAAAAACAATGGTTAAAATGTCCTTTATGCTTCTCTCTTGGAGGCAGAGAGTGATAGCCCCTTCTTGCACGCGTTAACTAAAGTGTGGCGAGTAGATCTTTGCGATTTTATTTGCATTTGCCTTTTTTATGAATTGCACTCTATTATGATCTTCCAATTAAAATGAAATTTGCTTTTTTAAGCTTTAAGAATTTCTATTTTAAAAACTAGCAACTTCTACTTCTTCTTTAAAGCCTCGTGTTTCCTTTTTAATGGATATATAATATAATTTAAGGTAGCCTGAAAGCTGTTAGCACTGCTTGATAATAATATATTTTATATTGATGAATTTTTAAATTACCAATCTATATAGTTCTTAATTGTTTTCAAAGAAAAAGTCCCGTGCGGACTTAGAGCTGTTCTGACAAGTTTCCGACGAAGGTCAGCATGCCTTTCTACGTTCCAATACATATATGAAATCCTATGAAACCGATTCTAGCCACGTGGCTGTTTACTTGTTCTAGTCCGGCGCAAGCTCGTGCCTGAAATATTTAAGCTATTTTAGGTGCTTTGGCGCATTTTTGAGTAAATACGGAAAAAGCAACAATAGGTTTTTAATATTTCATCTGCATCCGCTGCTTTGCATTTTAAAGGGAGGAATTTTGATGAAAACAATTTTGTGTAAGCCCTTTTTACGTGCTTAATAGTATATAAAACGCGACTTTTGTATATAGAGTGTGCTATTAATTATCGCATAGCTATTGATTTAACTAGGAATTTATAATACGTCAAGAATTGTTTTGTTTAAGGGCGTAACTGCGATGCCATTTAAATGTTTACTCCAAGGTATTTGTTCAGTATACTAAGGAACCTAATAGTAGAATTGTCTGGCTGCAATATTATTTTTCTCTCATCGAACACACTTTGAGCTGCTCAATGACCCAAACCTACAACGTTTTTCAATTAGCCAAACAGTCAATAAAGCCAACTCTGACGAGGACTGCTCTAAAGCTTCAAAGCTACCTCAACGCGCTGCTTGGAGACGAGCGTCAGATTAAAAACCGTAAATATTCGCAAATTTTGTTGTGGCTTCGATTTTAAGATTTGATTTTAACGATTGCAATACCCTTATAGAGGGTATGAAAAATTAAACTCAGAAGCAGACAACGCCAGCATGATAATGAATATATATTCCTGATCAGTATCAATCTGCAACAAATGCCATCCTCCAGAAGACTAAAATAAATCAGAACTGCCGTCCTACCAAGTAAGAAAATTCACTTAAACCAATTAATTGATTAGGCTCTTACACTATCGTGAATAATAGCACATAATACCCGGCGATTATTAGTACAAAATATTATATAAGATCTCAATACGCTGATCAAAATATTATTTTTAAAAAATCAATCAATCATCATTCTAATTCTATGCTAAGTTCAGTATCAGTGTGAAAGCTTTCGTCATTAGAGGTCTTTCTTTCTATCGTAGGCAATGCATAGTATGACGGAACCTGCCGGATTGGTACACTATTTTATATAGCTGACCCAGGAATTATCGATCAGAAGTAAGTTCTTGTACAAAATTTGTTGTTAAGATATACTCCTATCATAAGAGCAGAGATCTTATTAATATTTGACCAATATATTTGATTATTGATTTCCAAGATATTTGAACCAAGATTCTTATACATGATATACATAAGTATATATATATATCATATATGTCTATAGAGATGCTCATTTTTGTATAGAAAATATTTCTGTTTTCAACATATCCATAGATACATTCAACAATTAGGAGCTCCACAATTCTCACAAGTGTATTTAATATTCTTGTTTTTTGTTTTCTTTTTACTTCAAAGTGCGAAGTCTTCTGCTAGGAAACGCGTAAGTGTAAATGACGCTATTTACGATCGTTGTGCGAAGCTTATTATACATAATTTGCGGTTCTTTCTGTTATATCACATATTCTCAAATCGAGTGCTTAGCTATCTGCTAGCCACTGTGCTATTGCACCTGGTAAGTCGGGGTATAAATACCTTCAACAAGTTCTAAGCGCTTCTCATTCGAACGGAAGCTGCGACTGCGTTTAATGCCAGCCGTACTATACTTGAATATACTCTAACTATTTGCTGTCGGTACTTGTTGTGGGCAGTTAGAAATGGATGTTGACAACGAAGAGACATCCGAAATGCAACATTTCTATAAAGACAAGACAATTTTCATAACTGGTGGCAGTGGCTTTTTAGGAAAAGGTATACACACATTAAAGTGAATCAAATATGTTTGTGAAGTGCATTGAATCAATAGAAAGAAACTCGTTTTTAATTACGTTTTTAATCAAAACTCGAAAAGTGATCCTCGATATAATTAATAATGATACGCTATACATATATATTGTTCATATGAATTATGCATGCGTCTTTAACCGAGAGTATGGTCAGTTCCACATTGGATATTGACAATGAGTTCGTAATTTAACTCATTACGACAATAAATAAGTTCGCAAACAGCAATAATTATTAATAGACTGTAAAACAGTCAAAGATATTTAAGCTTTGAACTCTGTGCCAAACTATGCGACGGTAAAAAATCCATGAAAGTGCAAAATAACTTGTGCATTGGGTGATAATGTGATAATGTGTAAATTGCGAAAGCTCTTGTTAAAACTGGTTTCTAAAAAGGAATATATTGAAAGACTAGACTAATGGGACAATAATTTATTTATAAATGAACTTTATATGCTGTGGTTTCTAAAATAAGGTATTCACTCATCTACTGAGCGGCCCTCGTATAGTTGTGAAATTTTAAATTCTCACATTTTGCTTGACGAATCATTATTTTTTTTGATACATAAATGCGTCTCGTTCTTAGATTCAATCCAATTGAGTCTTAATTAAATGTTAAATTGCTCATAAATGAATGGAAACTAATTTAATGAGTAGTAAAGTTCAAGTTAAGATTGAATTATAAACAATTATAATTATGTGATATTGAATTTCTTGGTGCGCCTTTTAGTGATCATTGAGAAACTGCTGCGTACAACAGATGTGAAACGCATCTATGCTCTAATCAGAGCCAAGCGTGGCCAGGATATGCTGGAGCGGCTTGCCAGTTGGAAGGAAGATGGCGTAAGTAGCCCACAATACCAAACTAGAGCTGTCGGGTTCATATTGATATATTCCCCAAAAGGTATTTGAGTTGCTGCTTAAATCAAATCCCAATTGCTGGGAACGCATAACGCCCATTGCCGGAGACTGTCAGGAGCCGGACTTGGGCATTAACGAGGCAGACCGTCAGCTATTGCTGGAGCAGGTGCAGTTGGTGGTGCACGGCGCGGCAACAGTGCGCTTCGTGGAGCCACTGCACTTGGCACTGGATATCAACACGCGTGCCACTCGCCTCATGCTGCAGCTGGCCAAGCATATGCGTCGGCTGGAAGCCTATGTGCATGTGTCTACGGCTTTCTCGAATTGCGTCATTCAGCGCATTAACGAGTGCTTCTATCCGGAGCACTTGACCTGCAGCGCCGACAATGCTTTGGCTCTGAGAGAGAAACTGAGCGATGAGCTGATAGACAACATGACGCCAGCCCTGCTTGGCAGGTTTCCCAATACGTACACCTACACAAAGGCGCTGGCGGAGCAGCTGGTCCAGACTGAAGCGGGAGATTTGCCGTTATGCATCTTTCGGCCCGGCATTAGTAAGTGATCATTTCTGCCTGTATATGACCATGGCCTAATCATATCTTCAGTTATTGGCAGCTACAAGGAGCCCGTCTCAGGCTGGATTGATAATATCTACGGCCCCATCGCAATACTACTGGGCACTGCATGCGGAATATTAAGAATTTTTCGCGTTAACGTGCATGCGCAGGCCAACATGGTGCCCGTTGACTACTGCGCCAACTTGACCCTGGCTAGCGTTTGGCAAACGGCTAAGGAGGATGCCGCACATAAAAGGAAATCAATTGGCACAGCTGCGCCGGCTGCTCAGCTATTGGCTCCGCCCATCTACAATTATGTGCCTAGCGATCTCAACTTGTTAACCTGGGGAGATTTTAAGCGAAAAGCGGAAAGCCTGGGTCATATGTACCCGTTGACAAAAATGATATGGCTGCCGTTCCTGCATACCACGACCACACCCTGGCTCTTTAGGCTGGCCGCTTTCTTCTATCACATTCTGCCCGGCTACTGCATCGATGTGGTATTGCGCCTGAGAGGCCGAAGACCACGCATGCTTAAGCTGTACGAGAAAATACACAAGAATGCTGATGTCCTGTCGCCGTTTGTGGACTCCAACTGGTATTTCGAAACGCGCAATACGCAACAGTTGCGGCAGCGTTTGTCGGCACAGGATCAACAGCTCTTTGAGTTCGATATGAGCAGTCTGGATTGGGATGATTACTTCTATCGCGCTTTGGGAGGCATGCGCATCTACCTGGCTAAGGAGAAGCCCGGCGATGAGTCGCTGCAGCAGGGCAAAAGGAAACTGATACGGTATGTCAACGAGTTTTCTAATTGTTAAAAATTCTATGAACCTCGTTCTCAATTGGAATAAAATTACTTTTCTTTTTCACAGATTTTACATACTCCATCGGCTCCTGCAGTTCGTGCTTTGCAGTGGAGCGGCTGCCATTTTGTGGTCGCTGCTTAAACTCTTAGTTAGGTTCTAGGTTCTAGTACTGTTTTATAAAACTAGTTAAATAAATAGTTGGCTAAATATAGATAGACACACTCACTGCCCGCGGCAAGTCCTGCGCAGGATAATGTTGGACACGCCAGCCAAATGGCGGCTATTAAACAGAACGCAGTCAATAGAGCCGAGCGCACCATTTGGACTAGTCGACAGCTTCAAACAGACTAAGCATTGACAGTCAAAGACATCGAGGCATCTGGCAGTTGTCCCACCCCCTGGCTCCCAAGTCAATTGGCCACATCCGCTGCCGAGGACGCTGCCTTCCGCCCGGCACACAGACTGACAGGCGGAAGCTGCCAGCATTTGCGGCAATTGCGACGCCAGCGAAGAAGTTTGCCGCCATTTGGTGGCGATTAGCATAATTCGATTGAGTCCTTAGGTTCGAGTCAGAATCTATGGCTAATTTATGGGGCGCCAACTTACGATTTGTGCGTCCGGGTCCAGCATCCTTCTTCTCCTCCTCCTGCACACTGTTTGCCTTGGGGGGCGGCTGCTTGAATGCTATGCTAGCTGCCTCGAGTATAGGCGCCATAGGCATCGCCTGCTGCTCATTGGGCACAAACTTGTATTTGCCCCGGAATCCTTTGGCGGTGCGATTTGAGCTGGCATTAAACTCGAGCAGCAGATCTGGGCCGCTGCTTAGTATGCGGCGCGTGGGACATGGAGTGCATAGCACATCAATAACGGCGTTCATATGCGCCGATTCTGCATCAAAAATGGTGAGTGCGTCCAGTTGGCAGCCTCCACTCACCACCGGCGGCAGCTGCAGCTCCTCGAACAGCAGCTCCACGCGACTGTCGGGACGCCCAATGAACTTGTAGGCGCACTTGATGTGCGCCGGATAATGGGCCGGAAAACGCGGTGAGTGAAAGTAGCCCTGGCCCAGATTGCCTTCAGTTCCGGTGCTGGCAAAGAAATAAAAATCGCAAAAGCTGTGCGGCACCAGCCGTCCGTTCGTCTTGAAGAGCTCTGCAAGAAGAAAACGGGCCATGAACATAATGTGAACTAATTTGTTAATTGGGTGCACATTTGCTCACCTTGCTTTAGGAATCGATAGGTCGCCGTCAGATTTAACGGCCAGTCGGCCAACTTTGTGGGCGGCTGCCGAAAGCTGAGTCGCAGTCCAAGCAGCCTGCCGGCGCTATAAATAGGCGTGGCATTGCGTGACATCGTGCTGTGCTGGCACCAGGTATACGCCGACAGCGTCGAGTTCTCGATGACGGGCTCGCGCAGATACGGAAAGACCTCCACGGTGTCCAAGCAGCTGTCACAAAATTGCATTTTAAAAAAAACTTGCAGCGCATTGCTAATCATATTGCAAAATGGCCGAAATGGCCTAATGATGTTGAAAATTTATTGGCCGATAGCCGTGGGGCTGGCCGCTTGGCCGGCTCGTTGGTCAGCCTAAAAATAGGCAAGCGGCCAGCGAGCTGCCATTAAATAAAATGTTGCATTTCTCTTTGGTTGCGCGCCATTTATTTTGATAAAAAGTCTAACAAAAGTTGGCGTTAAGGTTAACACAGAAAAACCAAACCAAAAACGCAGCCGATGCTCACAAAATGGCCACAAATTGGTGCAAAAACAAATGTGTGCTAGTTCTGCTGAGAGGCTACAGATGTGAGATATTGCCACTAGGATTGGTTAAATTCGAGGCAATTAAAAACATAATTTTTAAATTTATTAATTGTCCTTCTCGTTTTAATAAAGAAATAATTATGATGGGATAAACAAAAAAGAAATGATAGAGAAATATAGCGAAAGAAACAATTTGCATCTACTAAAATCGAAGCAATCATTTTCTAGAGGATAAATAAAGTTTTTTTTTTTTCCAAATACAATAAAATAATGGTATATTCTAAAAGCTATGCTATAGAAACTTGATGAAATTGAGTTAAATTCTTGCAACATTTCAGTTTGTAACTCTGTTTGCTTCTCATCGCCTCCAGCTACTAGTTTTTGCGTTTACGCATCCCACCGAGCATGCGACAGAATGCAGGATAATCAATCATGGGCGGCTCTTCCAGTGTCTTGGGCTTGGCCATGGGCGCATGGCTGAGCGCCTCCTTTGCCTCACTGATGGTCATTTTGTCGCCATAATTGGTCAACTCCTCATAGATTCTATTGTGTTAGAAAATGTGTGCTATTAGAGCCACTTAACAAGACAACAAGGCGCAGTGCACCCACTTTCTTTCATCGATCTTGCCCGTGCCGTAATCATCCCACTTGCTCCAGGCCTCTAGCAGCACTTCCTCCGGATCCAGCTCTATGGTGCGACGACACATCAGCTGTACAAAGGCCTCATAGTCCAGAGGCTCGTGCGCTTCCTGCATCATTTGCTCCAACAGCTGCTCGTTCGGTTCATTGCCGAGCGCCGTGTAGGTGAACCGCAGGTCCTCTTTGGATATCAGCCCGTCACAATCCGTGTCGAAGAGCGTGAATACCTTTTGCAAAAACCGCGATCAACAGCATTTAGGCTAGTCTTCTAACCAACACTTACTTCCTTCAACTCCGCCAGCTTGGCAATATCCAGGTCTTTCGGCGATACCTGATCATCGGCGCTTAGCTTCTCGGGCAATCGGTAATGACCTGTGCTCTCCGGCAGCTTAAGCCTGGGATTGAATATCTCGTTGATTACGGCCATCGCCTCCGAGTCCGTTCCCAGCTGCGGTGGTGGCTGCGGTGTCTGCGAAGCTTTCCGCACTGAGCTGGCTCGACGACGCCGCTGAACAGACATGGATGATGTTACTATTAATCTCGGCCTGGTCTTTTACGGTTATGTTACGTTCACTCACACGTTCCAGATCTTCCAGTGAAACCGAAGGATCCATCGACATTTTGAACAGCACGATTCACCAGTGATTCACACGCGTTTTACAAGCAATTCACAAGCGTTTCACAAGCGTTTCACAAGCGTTTCACACGCGTTTCACACGCGACTCACACGCGATTTACTAGCGATATTTCACTTTCCACCAATAAACTTGTCGCGACGACAGCGGCCAACGTTGTGCTCAACGCTCTGCCCAAGCTCCACTGAAATTTGTGGCGCCGGTGCTCAGCAATTTTATTGACAAATCGATTTTGAAATTTTTTGAATTTATTTTCTTTTTGCGTATTTTAATGCAGCTAAAATAGCTGCAAATTTCAAATAAATTGACACAAATTTGCGAACGCGTATACCATTTATATAAATAACCAGGCGTGCCGGGCACGGCTCCACGGACCCCCCATACGAGCGGCCATAGTGGCCTTCACAAGGTATTTTAATTACATTGCATTCGCAATTTCCTCGATGGACACTGTGTTTTGATGGCTGTCGCGCAGCTGCCAGTGGCCGACATATCCAGATCTCCGATCGATTTGGATTCGATATGCGGCACGCCTGGCAGCGGGTGGCGGCCGCCTGCGACTGTACGGCTGGCTTACTATGACCGGAAGCAATGCTACTCACCCGGGGCGCAGCTGCAGCTGCTGTAGCTGAAAGGCCACCAGCTCGTCGGCCATGCCGCCAATGAAGATCATCAGACAGTTGTTTTTGGCGCCCAGCGCTTGGCTAGCATTTATGCTAAGGCTGCCCCATTGTGTGGCATTGCGCTCGTTGGCGTGCAGACAGGAGCAGTCTGAGAGAGTGGCCAACCATTAATTATGCAGTCGCATCGACCACCTTCCAGCCGCATCTTACCTAGCCATAGCTGCGACTGTTTGTTGCCATCAGCGCGTTGACCACTGGCCAAAACCAGAGCGAGCACCAAAGTTAAACAAACGGCCGCCATCTCCAGCGGCCAAAGTGAAACTGCGAAGCGAGGTGCCAAGCGTCGCGATGTTATCCTGCCAGATGCCCACAGTTCTGCGGATGCTTGTGTGCTTTAAAAATAACCGGGCGCCACCCTAACAGTACGGCACAGTCCGATGCCACCTCACCTTTTTCTCTCGAATCATAAAATTTCAGTTGAGGTTTTCATGAGGCGGTTGCCCCCCTGCTGCAGGTGGCGCCAACGCCCAGCCGTTAGTTTCTGCCATCGTCCATGCCTGTGGCAGCAGCAGCCACAACTGTGACTTTGGTAAGCTATTTATAAGTGGATTTCATATTTTTATGATTGGCAGTTATCAGTGCGCTGGAGGCAAAAAATTGATAACGATTCGCTTTTTTCTAGATCTGTTTTTAAAAAAAACTATAAGGCATTTTATTATCCTTGAGCCATTTCTTTTCTTTACCTAAAGACGCTCAGAACTAGCTCAAGTGTTAATCCAAATTAGCTTAGTTTACTTAAGGATTGGAAAATACAAAAACAATGAAATTAAAGCGAAAATATAAGAAAATAAATTGATAATATTAGTTCTGCTTCTAATTCTACTTCTGACTTAAATCTATATGTCTCTATAATTGAATAAGTATCCGTATTGGTATCTATTACTGTAGATACATTTATATGTATATATATCTTTCTCTACTATTTCATTTATCATGTATCTATATATATCTAAATATATCTTGTCCTAACTGACTAGATATATACCTGGAAATTTATATAGGATCATCTATAGCATTATATCTAGGACACACAGGTTTTAATCAAGATTTTAAGCAAAACACTAAACATTTATTTAGTACAACATTAACACTCACATGAGTATATTATGGTATTTGATATATTATGTATATTTGTAGCTAATTAGGATCCACCTGTTTGATTCATCTTCGCCCTGAACATGTCGGCCAACATAACCGCCTTGCTGGCATTCAGTTCTTCGTAGTCAAAGGGCGCCATATGCTCCTTGCAGCGATCTAGCCATTGCTTGACATGTTTGAAGGGTCTTAGCTCAAAATCAAATGCCTCCAGCTGGGAGATAGTGACGAGAAGTGTCAGGTCTGCGATTGTAAAATGATCCGCGGCTGCATATTCCCGGCCCTCCATTATTGCATTTAGCCAGCCGACGGCTTCGGTTAGTCTGGCGCGTTTGACCTCGTCCAGTGGGGCGCCAATAAACATTGTGGGAAACTGCAGGAGCAGGCAGATATGAGAATATTACTTGGTCTACCGTTAGTAACTCACATAAAAGTCGGTGAGACGTTGATAGAGCGTGCCGAGATCAAAGTGTAGACGCTGATCCACCAGCGCTCGCACGCGTATATCCGTGGGATAAAGCTCGTCTGATTTGGCATAGGCGGCCACCAGATATGAGAGTATGGCGCGACTGCAAGGATACATCTAAGGATGATTGAATTGCATCAATTGTGTAAAAGCAGCGCTCACCTTTCCCACAGCACCAGTCCCTGATCGTTCATTGTGGGCACGCAGTGCTGTGGATTCATGGCCACAAAGTTGGGCTTCAGCTGCTCCCCCTCCATTATGTTGACGATCTTCAGCTCAAAGTCCAGACCGAGCATTTTGGCTAGCAGCAGAATACTGCGACATGGCGGACTCGGAGGCAGATAGTACAGCACTGGCGTGGACATTTTTCCACCTCTAATAAGTAGGCAGTAGACAAATTCGGTTACAATTTGTTCCGTTTGGTTCATCAGTTACAACTAAAAAGCTATTCGAAAATTCGCCAGCAATACGGTGGCCAGAAGCCGTGCGTAAAGCAGAAAATCAATGCATCGATTTCAAATGTTTTATGAATGTAAATTGCTTGGAATTTTATAATAGCCTACGACAAGAGGACTTCTAAAGGTCAATGTTGAGTTCGATGTTAATTTATGCAAAAGCAGTTAAAGGCGATTGTTTAAGTTATGGGATACTAAGTTTATTGTATAACTAGTTGAAAGTAAATGAAAACAATCGCCTTGAATTTATTAATTAGTCATTTACAAAAGTTTCCCAAGCCTCTTTTTCATTCATTCATAAAGAAATGTTTGGTTTTATTTTCGACACTTGATCCATAAGAAAAGCAAAGACGATTAAGAGAGGTAATGAAACATATCTACTAGGTATGTGACCGTCTGGCCATTTGCAGTTAGCCAATGATAGATTATCATGGACATATTAATTGCTGCCTTTTCGCCTCAATTAATAATCCATTATTGATATGGGAAAGCTTATGACCCACCTGCTGCATACTCACACAATCTTATGCACCAGCTTGTGCTGCACTACGGCCACGGAGTCGATGTCTATGCAGTTCCCCAGTGTGCTTACGAGTGTCGAGCTCTACTGTCGCCTCGACGGAGCTCCGGTCCAGGTCCACAATCTCGGCTGTGATGATGATGATGATATAATCTCGCTGTATGTTAAGTTGTCGACGTGACTATTCGTCGCCGCCTGCCTGTTTGAATTTTCAGAATTTTCATGTCATCGGTGGCTGCTTGGTGCTTTGTTTCATGTTTGTTTTGTTTTGCTATTTTCGTTTAGTTTTCATAGCGGGCGTTACCTGGACGACAACAGCGTCGCCTCGGCTAATGTGTGCTCACCTGAGTGGGTGCTTGGGGCGGTTGAGCGGGCGCCGGGCTGTAGGATAGTAGCTTGATTGGGGGCGTCCGCCGAAACTCGGTCAGGATATCGTGTTCGTGTTTTTTTTTTTGCGTTCTAAATTAAGCTACTACATAATTTGTTGTAGCTACGTGTTCTATCTGATATTGATTGCTCTAAGTCTTTACAACTGAGTGCCGCTCAAAACTTGGCCGGGGTGTGCAGGCGAAACCCTGGCCCGAAACTGAAAGTTGGTATGCAGTAGCGTAAGTTTTAGCACTTTCGTGGCCACTTAGAAACTAACTCGAGCTGTCGCGTTTTATTAGGCAAAGCGAAATGAAAAACCGAAGACAATCAGCCAAACAGGCACTAGGCACTTTATTTCGACTGCGACTGTAAAGCAAAAATTACCAAGGACTCCTGCTTAGCTACCTGTGCAGTTCATGATGCAGGTAAGCCAATGACAATCCCTATTTTGGAAAATTATCGAAAAATCCAAATGCATTAACCATCAAATTCCTGGAAAATTCCACATTATTTGCAAAAGGGACAGCCCTGTGGACAAGGATAACAGGCCATTAAAATGGTCAAGGTATTCCTTGCCAGATCATGCCTATAAAGAGCATTGCCGCGCAAGTACCTTGAACAGTTGACCGTGCAAGTGAAGTGAAGCAAGTGCCTCGAGATGAGCTATAGAAATCAATTCAACATGTCGCTGCGCCTGATGCTGCTCCTCATGATGTTCTTTGAAGCGCGCACACTGCCGGCGCTGGACACTGCGCCCACTGCAACAGCCGCCAATACCATAGATGAGTCTGATAAGCAGACGGATGCGAACATAGAAACGAATGCATTAAATGATGCCGGTTTGGTCAATGCCAATGGCACGAGCTTAGCGGCTACGAGCACCACTGAGGCACAGGATCCAACAGTGGTGAGTAAAAGTAAGGAGCCCAAGTACACAGAGAGCTCACATGATTCTATTACAGTCGGGTGACAATGTGGCCAGCGCCAGCAGCAATGAGCCGGTGTCCATCTACGCCAGCGGACTCATCACGCCCGAGGCCTTTCAGCAGTATCTGAGCCAGTATGGTGGTGCAGCGGGCTTGGCACCGCTCGCGGCTTACCCATCGCCGATGACAGGCGCGCCTGGTATCTACCCCTATCCGGGACCCATTATGGTGCAGACCGGATACGAGGGCTTCTTGGTGCCCACAAATCAGGTTGGCTCCGATAGTGCTTCAGATGTGACCACAACGGTTCCAGCCGGGCCTCCCCCCGTCTTGAACCCGTTGATGGCCTTTGCCTCCAGATTATTGCCCACCATACTGATGTCTACGCTGTTTCGCATTGCGGCCGTCGTGATCTCCGCCATAGGTGTGATTCTCTTTGGAGGTGCCATTACCAACGCCCTCTGCCGGCTAACGCCCATCTGTGAGATTCCCAACAAGGCTGTGAACTATCTACGCTCTGGTGGAGCACAGGATGTGGGTCGCATGCTGGTCGAGGAAATTACACCCGAACGCGTGCGACGAACCACGGAATTTGTGCGCAACGCCATCCACAAGTATCGCCAGCTGCAAAAGCTAGTCGAACCGGACTCGGAGTAGAAGTAGAAGCTTTATTGTCGCTAACTGAAGAACGTGATGAAATTTGATATAAATTGTAGTAATTGCTTGCATACCAAGGAGAATTGAAATACATACATATATATTTTTAATTTTAGTCGAAATTGTTATAAAATGTTATATTTAAGCAGGCAGTTATTTGGTTTGGGATTCATAAAAAAGTTGGTCCTTTCTGAGTGCCATAAAGGACAGCTCAACTACGAAGCCGAAATTTGACCTAAGGCTTCCAAATGGTTGGACTAAAACGGGGTTTTTGTGGAGGGGAAAGGTGGTTAAAGTTTGCATGAAAAACGTCAGAAACGCAGCAAAACCGCAGTGTAATTAAAAATGAACAAGCCGTGAATATTTTCACTTCTAGATACATGCTCATAAATATTTTATTTAATTTTTCCTAATATATATTAATACAACAAATTGTGTTCAACAAATAACGTCAAGTTCTTAGATTTAGTAGAAAATAGTTACGCCTTTATTTCCTTTATCTTATCATCAAAAAAGTCCCTCATTTGCAGCAAGCCCTCCCAGTTTTCATTCCATCCGGGTGTTACCTTTTGGGCATTTTCGTACCACCTCTCAACGTTGGGATAGTTCTTGAGGTCAAAGTTCATTGTTACAAATGACGAAACGTTGGCCAGGATGGCAATATCCGCGATTGTCAAATTGTTTCCAGCTACATACAGCTGACCTTCCAGGAAGGTATTTAGGAAACCAAAGGCAGTCTCAATCTTTTTAAAGTTTTCAGCATCTCCTAGTTTCTTTAGTCGAAATATTGGCGAGTAATAATCGTAGAATGACTTGAACAGCACTCCCATATCAAAGTAAAGTCGCTGATTAACAATAGCCCGTTGCTTTGGATCCTTGGGATAGAGCGAATCGCCCTTTCCATACTTCTCAGCCAGGTAAACAAGAATGGCGCGTGACTCCCACAGCGCGAAGCCATTGTCCACGAGCGTTGGAATTGTGCGCTGTGGATTAAGTTTAACAAACTCAGGTTTCAGCTGCTCACCCTCCAATATGTTAAGAAATTTCTTGTTGAGCTCCACTCCCAAAGCCTTTGCCGTCATTATAACTGAACGGCAGGGGGCTGAACCGGACATATAATAGAAGTCCATGTGGAAATTGCGTGTTCTGCTCTTGAGAAATTAGCGCTAACTGAATTTGAGCGTGTGGCTGCTACGCTCTTTATAGCAATTTCACACAAATAATTATCTATTATTTCGTTCTCTTTTTACTCTGAACTACTGAATGTATGTCAGTTTTATGCCTATGTATGCAACAGGCAAATGGAAGCATCTCTGACATATTCATGATCAGCATCAATAGGCGAACCGATCTTACTATGGCGGTCTGTCTGTCTTTCCGTCTGTATGTTCGAGTACGTCAATCACTTTTAAGACTAGATACTTGAGATTTTAAGCGTAGAACCTTCTAGTACCCGCACATCCATCCCTATTTCCATAAAATCGATAGGGATCCATACCGAAATTCTGCTTTTTGAGCATATCTCGAAGCTTCTGAGCGTTAGAGGCACCAAATATGGTAGGTAGATTCTCGAATAGTATATACAGAAGTGGAATATTTCACTTTTAGATACCCACGTTTCCCCATAATGTAATTTTTCGCATTTATAGAGGTATAGGGCTTTGGTATTTGCACACATTTGAATGCCATATTTATGCCCTCAAAAGACCATAAAGATCGCACCATAAACTCCAAAGCAAATCACGAAAGCATTTTGCATGTTGTGAGGAATTTGAGGCTTGTACGGGGAATCACCTAGTCGGATACTCCCGACAAGAGCACTTTTAGTTGTTATCAAATAGTGATAGTCACTCTTAATTTCAGTTTTATATATATTTGTGTATATAAAATCAAGTAGGAGTAAAACACGCAGGATTATTTTAATACAATCTATATGTAGGATTAGAGACTTTTAGTTGCAGATTTCACACACACGTAAAGAGAAAGAGGGAGAGAGTGAGAGAGAGAGAGAGAGAGATAGAGAGGGGAGCAAGATAGAGCAAGAGAGAAAAAAGAGAATACATAATACTTCTTGATGTGAGCTCATAAACATGTATTAATATATTAATACAAAAGTTTTCTTTAAATAAATATAAATATTATTAATGTATAATTTGTAGATTTAAGAGAAAATAAATTAGGCTTTTAGATGCTTCATTTTAGCCTCGAACCATTCCTTCATTTGCAGCAAGCCCTCCCAGTTTTCGTTCCATCCGGGTGTTACCTTCTGGGCATTTTCGTACCACTTCGCAACATTGGGATAGTTCTTCAGTTCAAATTTCATTGCTACAAATGTCGAAACGGATGCCAGGATAGCGATGTCGGCGATTGTCAGGTTGCTGCCTGCCACATATTGCTGACCTTCCAGGAAGGTGTCCAGCAAACTGAAGGCAGCCTCAATCTTTTTGTAGTCCTCAGGATCTCCAGGCTTATTTAGCCGAAAGAGTGGCGAGTAATAATCGTAGAAGGACTTGAACAGCACTCCAATATCAAAGTATAGCCGCTGATTAACTAAGGCCTGTTGCTTTGGATTCTTGGGATAGAGCGAGTCGTCCTTGCCGTACTTCTCAACCAGGTAGATAAGAATGGCACGCGACTCCCACAACGCGAAGCCATTGTCCACTATCGTTGGAATCGTGTGCTGTGGGTTGATCTTTAGAAACTCTGGTTTCAGCTGTTCACCCTCCATAACGTTTAGTAATTTCTTATTGAGCTCCACTCCCAAAGCCTTTGCCGTCATTATAACTGAACGACAGGGGGCTGAACCGGGCATATAGTAAAAGTCCATATTGAAATTGCTTGCTCTGCTCTTGAATAATAAGTGCTGACTGACTTTAGAGGTGTACACGCTTCTCTTTTTATAGCAAAAGCCACAAACTATTATCTATAATTTCGTGATTTTTATCAAATATTGTTTGTCACTGTTACTTTCACTTCTAAGTGTATATGCATAAAATCAAGTGGGAGTCATCGGTGCTATCTCTATGCTTGGAATTGACAATGCAATAGCCCAGTTCTAAGCTATGGCATTTAGTTGATATGCATCAAAGAATTGTATTAACTCGCAAAGTAAAACTTTTCAATTTGAAGATCATGCGTTTATTTGTCATCAAGATTTTAGTTTGTAGTTTTCTGTTCTTAAAGTTAATTAAGTTGACAAAAGTTTTATTTAAAATATAGTATACTAGCAGATCTGAATTGCTTACAAATTTTCATTCATAAATATGTAGTTAATAGTTAATACTCCCATTAATATATATTTAATACTAATACTAATAACAAACATTCAGACAAACATGCACACAAGGATCCATTGATCATGATATATAATTATGTATCATAAAAAGAAACATGTACGAACATTGCAGCCGACTACGCAATGCTCTGCTAGAGGGAGGTAATTAGCCGAAAGAGGTTTGCCATATTATTTGTTTTTGTGACTTGTCTTGCAGTGACTCTCAAACTGTGGCTTGTGCAGATACAGATTTCTGATATTTAACGACTCAGCTTCAAAAATTGTGGGATATGTAGATACTCGTGCTTACTCACACATTTCTAAGTCTGGACTTGAAAACAAGTGTAGACGTTGCAGAGTATATTGTAAATATATATTCACACATACTGTATCCAAAAATATAAGTAACAGATTTCCTAATTCTTTAATTTTAGAAAACTTGGAAGCACAGTAAAGCTCATATACATCTTAACTAAAGTAGAATACGAGAATAAAGAGAACTTAATGGGTAGTTAAACTCTCCAGAGAAAATAAATAAGCACCGCTTGAACAGCCGACATTGGACTTCAGAGCTTGTCGTTTTTTTAGACCCCCTTTAAAGTCGCTCTACCGTATACATTTTGAGAGCTGTTTGGCAATCATATAATAAATGTACATGTTTAGTTCAACTAGTTGTGTTATTTTTTATTTAAGAACACGCTTTTAATTATATTGTGATGTGTCATGGATCAAACTAAAGTAGGTGTACGTATATTATAGTAGACATAAATATAGGTTAATTAAAGATGGCCAGAATTTATTTCTTGCTCATTGCTGCTATGCGCTCTTTCAGCTTCTCCAAGCCGATTAGATTCTCATCCCAGCCAGGAGTCACTTTCTGGACATGTTCGTACCACTTGGCAACGTTCGGATAGTTTTCAAGGGGGAAGCCCACTGTAACAACAGTCGAAACCGAGGCCAAAATGGAAATGTCGGCAATTGTCAGCTTACTGCCGGCTACATATTGCTGACCCTCCAGGAAGGTGTTCAGGAGCGCAAAGGCAGACTCCACCTTTTTATACATCTCAGGGTCAGCTGGCTTGTTATAGCGAAATTGGGGATAGTAATAATCGGCGAAGGCCTGGTACAGCACGCCCATGTCAAAGTATAGCCGCTGATTAACTAGAGCACGCTGCTGTGGATCCTTGGGATAGAGCGAGTCGTCCTTGCCGTATTTTTCAGCCAGATACGCGATAATGGCACGCGACTCCCAGATGGAGAAGCCATTGTCCACCAGCGTTGGAATCGTATGTTGCGGATTAAGCTTTAGGAACTCCGGCTTCAGTTGCTCCTGTTCGCTGGTGTTCAACAACTTCTTGTTAAGTTTGACACCCACTGCGGCAGCAGTCATTAGAACGGAACGGCAGGGCGCCGAGCCAGGTGAGTAATAAAAGTCCATTTTCACAATTTGGTGGGTCGTGTGTGGTGCTGTCAGAATGTGAGCGACTACTAAATGCTGTTGGTCGGGGCTGGGGCTAATATAGTAAAAGCTGATACAGAGATAAGGCGTGACGTGAGTGTCTCATTATCGGGCTCCATTTAGTCATAATGTGTTGGCTTTGGAAAATTGCTCGTCATTGGGCTTATACAATTCAAACATTCGTTGGGTATTAAAAACGATTTGATCGATTGTGGACACAAAAATGGCTAGTTATTTTCAATTTATATAGCTCAAATCTAGTTTGGAAATTGGTAGAAACTTTTCGCATTGTTGATTTTTAATTTGTTAAGTTCTTGATAATACATATGTTTTCATAACAAGTGTTTCAATTGGTTGCATTTTCCTTTCGCTTAGCGTCAATCCACTCTTTCATTACGTTTAAGCCCTGATCCCAGCCGGGTATTACCTTCTTAACTGCCTCGTACCATCTGGCCACATTGGCATATTTGCTGATATCAAAGTCGGCCACAACAAACGTGGACACGGTGGCCAGAATGGAAAAATCCGCGACAGTTAATTTATGGCCCGCAACAAATTGATGACCTTCCAGAAAGCCGTTGAGATAATTAAATGATGTTTTCACCTTCTCAAACTGTGCTGGGTCTGCTGGCTTGTGCTGCAGCAACTGTGCGTAATAATAGTCGGCGAAACTCTGGCTCAGGCTGCCCATGTCGAAATACAAGCGCTGATTAACCAGCGCCTGCTCCTGCGGATCCTTCGGGTACAGCGAGTCATCCTTACCGTACTGCTCCACGAGGTAAACAAGAATGGCGCGCGATTCCCACACAGAGAAGCCATTGTCCACGAGCGTTGGGATCGTGTGCTGCGGATTGATCTTCACAAACTCCGGTGTGAGTTGCTCACCTGCCAAGGTGTTTAGAAGCTTCTTATTAAGCTCAACTCCCAACGCCCTTGCCACCATAAGAACGGCACGACATGGCGCTGAGGCCGGCAAATAATAAAAGTCCATCTTGCCAGTGGATATTCCGTCGTCTGTTTTCTGGGCAGGTGAAACGAACCGGCACTGAGTTATTTTTGTTTAAACATAGATTAACGAACAGGTGTGAGAGTGTGTGTTACACACACATTGAGTATGTGTATCTGTATGTATCTATCTGTATTTGATAATATTATTTCTTAGTTATCGCCACTTATCATTATACAAATATAGGTGTAACTAACACAGCAAAATATGTAATATATATGTGCATCTACATCTATATACATCATGAGAATAGAAGTTACAAATTACCTGTAGATATCCGAATTCTAAAGATTCTACAAAATAACCTTTCGCACGTCCCAGCTACCAAACTGTTATAAGACTGAGTTCCTACATCTACAACAATTCAAGTATATAATACTTATATCAAACTATTTGTATACATATAAAAATACATCTAAGTATTCAAATGAGGCAAGCAAGAATGCTCTGAAGTGGCTTGCTCAACTTAAACACACCCTGTAAGTTATCTGCGTTCTCCATATGTACATTCAGCCACATTGAAATTGTCAGAATAGAGCTTAATTGCATATACCCTACACGTTTTATAAACTGTTTTAACTTGTGAGCGGAGCATACGATATGTATTTCTCTAACTTTTAATTAATTGTTAGATCGTTAAATAGTTGTCAGTGCTTAAATTTCTATCACTATTTGTTCGCCTTCTCAGCCAGTTTCATATCTACAGGGTGTGAATACAAATTCAAACTGCTTAACGCCGACTCTCTTTAAAAATCTCTTATTTCCAGCTTCTCTTCGCTTGTCAATGCTCTTCGTTCACCAAGGGATCTGTTTACTGTTGGGGCCTATGACGCACGCGTCGTCAATGTAGGCAAACTGGTTCTCTGGGCAGCTGAATTGTGTTCATAGCATAGATGCCGCGACCTTTCTCTACATTTTCGGCTCTTCGTCATCTCGGAGCGCCCGTAAAACCCAAACCACTTGTTTGTTGGCTTCTTTTGTTTATGTTTTTCATTGAATCTTTAAATTATGTATACATGAGTAAGCTGCCGGTATCTACTTCTGTTTCTACATTTGTAGGCTCTGGGGTTTTCTGAATGCTTCGAATATTCTGGGCATTGGAGAAGTGACTAAACTAACGCTCTCAACTGCTAGTTCTCACTCGTTCGCTCTTTTATGCTGACGCATCGCCAATTTGTATACCCTATGCGTATTCAAAATAGAAAAAAAAGGTATGACGGTTTTATGTTCATGACAAAAGGCTGCTTTTCGTACTTCATTTACTATATATATTCTCATTTCGAATCTTGCGCTTTCGCTTGTGGACACATTTCGCTGCCATTTTTAAATCCTTAACATTTCATAGGGTCGGACTATAAGTACCAAAGCATTCGCTCGGCACAGGGTATTTCCTAGTCGGGCAGTATACTTTAACTTGTTGTTGTTTTTCGTTTGCGGTATTCCTGACGTGTACTCCACAGAGCCGGCAAATGCTCGCGTTGTTTATAATTAATTTTTTGCAATGTCATGCTTATAATAAACTTTACAAATTGTGAAACTGATAAAAACTACACAATGTTTGGGACAGGCCATGGAATATTCGAGTCGTATGTGCAAATGATTTGCCAAGTCACATATGATTTATAAAAGAATGCAGGAACTTCCGAATTTCATCACATGTACTGATCCATAGATATTTTTTGTACCCTAGCGATCTCCTATGACTTCAAAAATGACCTCAATGGTCGTTAAGATAATGATAAGATAATTGAATAGTGTTTAAGCATGCAAATCTATAATTATGTATGTAAGTATGCATGTCTTATAAGAACTTTGCGTGACTTTACTTACAATATTTGCTGTGAGAGTGTGAGAGTATCTTTTGTATTCCCTAGTTAATGTACGTTTACATAGGTAGTATTGCAATTAGCCGCAGTAATCACCATTAGCAAAGTTAGCATTGGTCAGCATTAATGGAAAGTCAATAAATTTTAGTTAAACATACATACAAGCGATGCAGGTAGTGTACCTATATACTTTAGTTACCTTTTTTGGAAAAGCTTTTACTCTTAATCGTTTGCATGTCAGAGGCGTGGGCAACTGGCCGTCACAAAGTGTTATACTATTTATGCATACATATATATATATACATATACATATGTATATATGTCAGCCCATGTACAATTTGATACGTTCAAGGCTAATGGTAAATGTACCATTATTATAGTTCACAATTATTGTATGACTGCGCAGTTATAGTTCTGGGCGAAATGTGCATTACTACCAAAACATGTAGGTATGCACTACACGCGAATGTATGTGTGTATGTACACATGTATGTATATACATACATACATGTATGCTGGATATACACATTTGTATCAATGTGCTTGCAAATATTTGTGTTGGTTTCGACAAACAAGCTGCTGTGATTATTTTCAAATATAATTCAAGTGCATTAAGTTCGATTCGACAGCTGTCACAAGTCGCAAAGAATTCACACAAAAGCGATAAACAAAAATGTTTATAGTTCACGAAATTGAATATAATTTTGTTTATATTATATGCACAGCCATATGTATAGCACGCACACAGGCACAGAAACATGCACATACAATTGTATGTATAATTGAATAGTAGAGAATGTAAGCAAGAGAGACAAACAAATAAGCGAATAAATTTGCAAACAAAAAGGCGGCAAAAAGAATGCTGTGCTGAGAGCACCAAGGCAGCAAAGAGAGCAGCCAAATGATTCCTCCAAAAATTGAGGCGATCCGCAATGTGGTGCAACGAGTTTATTAGAAAGTTGCCGATTTCTGTGGCGCCACACACAAGTGAAGGGTATGTGCTGCATATACATACATACATATGTATGTAAGTATATACACAAGTTGGTTATGAAGTTACAATTTTAATTATATTCATATGCATGTACATACATATGTATCTTTGTATATACATATTCAACTCTTTATAAATTTGTTTTATAGCTTTAACACATACATACAAGCAAACACACTCATGCATACAAATACAACAAATACGCGAAAGCAACGGCAAACACGCGAAAACAACTCGCGCTCTTTATGGCAGCTTACTTTGTATATACCCTATACCATATACATAAGCGTGTGTGTATTTATGTACTGCGCTCCCCGCGAACAGCAGATACCTATGTTCATATTTGTTTGCCGGTTTTATAGCGGCCGGTCGCCTGCTGCTCGCTCGCAGTTTCTGATACAGCGGGGGTCTATAAAAGCAGAACGTCTCTTCAGAGCGCCAACAGTGTTGCTTGATACTTGGTACAGTGCGCCGCGTGTTTTCTACAATCCTAAAAGTAAGTGTCTGCGTGTAAAATATAACTGTGCATTTGTGTCTGTGTGTCGTCCAAGAACTTGTTGAGCCAAAAAAAAGTATATACTTGATGTGTGGAAAAAACCAAAGAAGAGAATAACTAAAACTCAATTGTTAAAGCAAGGGCCGCAAGTTATGTCTATGACATCAGAGGACTACGAATCTCGCGCTATTAAATATAAAATTTGGACCCAAATTCATTATGTGTGTTTTTGCTCAATTATGGATCGCATCTCTAATGGTCGTTTGCCTTGTGTGCTCTTCTAATTATAGCAAAAAATGGTTGACTTCTACTACTTGCCCGGCTCCTCGCCCTGCCGCTCCGTCATCATGGTGGCCAAGGCTGTTGGCGTTGAGTTGAACAAGAAGCTGCTGAACCTGCAGGCCGGCGAGCATCTGAAGCCCGAGTTCTTGAAGATCAATCCTCAGCACACTATTCCCACGCTGGTGGACAATGGCTTCGCACTGTGGGAGTCGCGCGCCATTCTGGTCTACCTGGTGGAGAAGTACGGCAAGACCGACTCCCTGTACCCCAAGTGCCCCAAGAAGCGCGCCGTCATCAACCAGAGGCTGTACTTCGACATGGGCACGCTGTACCAGAGCTTTGCCAACTACTACTATCCGCAGGTGTTCGCCAAGGCGCCTGCCGATCCTGAGGCCTTCAAGAAGATCGAGGCTGCCTTCGATTTCCTGAACACCTTCCTCGAGGGTCAGACCTATGCCGCTGGTGACTCACTCACCGTGGCCGACATTGCCCTGGTGGCCAGCGTGTCCACCTTCGAGGTGGCTGGCTTTGAGATCAGCAAGTACGCCAACGTGAACAAGTGGTACGAGAACCTAAAGAAGGTGTGTCCCGGCTGGGATGAGAACTGGGCCGGCTGCCAGGAATTCAAGAAGTACTTCGAATAAGCTTAATACATTTGCGAGTATTATATTTTATATAATAATTTATTCATACTTACTCACAAAACGATTTGAAATCGTTCAATGTTGTGTGCAAATTTGTATCAAGCGAGAGTTTGGTGCAAATTAATTTTTTGCTTAAAATAAAAGAGTATTCATTTTTACTGAGTACAATTTAAGAGATAAACTACTTTTTGTATATATGCTAAGAAAACTTATTGGCTTTTCTCTTTAACTATTTTTGTTTAATGTGTGCAATTTATAAGTCGGGTCACTCCCATTGGCCGGCCACTCTTGAGCGGACAAAATTGTCCGACTGTGCTGCCCGCCTACGAGCAGGTTAACTGTACATATGCGGAGTGAGCTTAGACGCTATGAGGTACCCATAATTTATAATAGTACATGGTTGGATGAATAAATTGCACAGAGAGCTGGCAATTGTATAACGAGCTCTAACACAGAGTGTGTGTATGTGTGCGTGTAATAAATATATACATATGTAAGTTTGCGCTCTCTCTCTTTCAGTCCGCTTTTGTTTTAGCAAAGTGTTATATAACGGTCGCTCTCTTTCTGTTACTCTCTCGATGCATGCCGGGCCCTATCACAATATCTCACACCAGTTGCTAAATATGCTTGCCATAAACAGGAAGGACGCAATTGCAATCAAAGAGTAGGTAAAAATATTAAATTTGCTTTTTTAATGTGGGCCACAGAGCAATAAATAACAGTTATTTGATGTGTGCCGCACATTTAATAATCTTAAATCCCATTTTGTTGCATTGTAAATCAACAAGTGCATAAATATTTATTGCTCTCAAGAACATTACAAATATTCAAAAGTTTCTTATAAAATACAAATTGCGAATTACAAAAAGAATTCCAGCTATTTAATCCGTTATAGTCAACTATATAAGGACAACAGCACAACAACACGGTATTGCCATGTTTATCAAACATAAAATGCAAAACAGAAATTCGAATCACATCGTTCGTGATTTATCAAATTTAACTTAATATATAATAATCTGACATTTCTTGGTTCTAGTAAATATGCTGGACTTTTACTATATGCTCTACTCGGCGCCTTGCCGCTCGATCCTGATGTTGGCGCAGGCTTTGGGTGTGGAGCTGAACAGGAAGCAGGTATACCTGGATGCGGGTGATCATTTAAAGCCAGAGTTTGTTAAGATTAATCCACAGCACACGATTCCCACGCTGGTTGACGGTGACTTTGCCTTGTGGGAATCACGTGCCATCTTGCTGTATCTGGCAGAAATGTACGGCAAAGATGATGCACTGTATCCCAAGGATCCTAAGCGGAGAGCTTTGATCAATCATCGCTTGTTCTTCGATCTGGGCACATTGTATCAGAGCTATGTCTACTATTACTATCCGCAACTGTTTGAGGATGTCAAGAAGTCGGCTGATCCCGACAACTTCAAGAGGATCGATGCTGCTTTCGCTGCCTTCAACTCTCTGCTGGAGGGCCAGAAGTATGCGGCTGCAGATAGCCTAACTGTGGCTGATTTTGCGCTCTTGGCCACCGTCTCCACTTTCGAAGTGACTGGATACGACTTCAGCAAGTACACCAATGTGGCCAATTGGTATGAGAGCGCCAAGAAAGAGGTGCCCGGCTGGGAGGAAAACTGGGAGGGCTGCTTGTACTACAAGAAATTGTATTTGTCGCAGCTATAGGAATTATTCATTGATATTATACCCTAATATATGTTATTGAAGGCATATTATTAAAACTATTGTTGCCATGTACGCCTTATCTAAGATGGAAAAGAGTCAACGACTCTGAGTACTTCAGCTTATCAGTTAGGTAAAAGTCATTTTGTCACTTGTTAACTGTGTTTATGAGCAGTCAGTTGGGGGTACTGATAACGCTGAGTATCTGGAAATACACGTGCGATAAGATATTAAATACTTATGTAGAGCTCGCCAACAGCTGAGACTGCATGAATGTTAATAATATGGGCTGAAACAGCAAAATTTACATCAGTGAAAATACTTGACGCTAATTGCAGGGTATGTTAGGGAGGGGCATTGAGCGTAACTAAAAGAGTAGCGAAAGGTATATTTAGTACAGCTCTCTTTGGCGGATCAAAAACAATAATTTTGTTAATTATCACCTGGCCTGAGGCCTGTCTATGGAATTGTCTTTGAGCACAGATCTTGGCTCAGTTGCCCAGCGAAAAACGCCGAAAACAGGTGAATATTATAGACATATTTCATAGACGTTTTTTTTCTATATTTGTGTTATGTCATCCAAAGAAAGTGAAGATCTCGAAATGTGCGCGACGCTCGGCTGGTTTTCTTTGTCTGTTTGCTTGATTATATTTAGTCGCTTTGTGCCAGCTTTTGATGAATATGAATGTTTGTTTTTTTGAATACGCCCCAATAGCATTATGGACTTCTACTATCGACCCGGATCTGCGCCCTGCCGTGCGGTCATTATGACGGCCAAGGCAATTGGCATTGAGTTTAATAATTTGATTCTTATCAACACACGCGCTGGTGACCAATTCAAGCCGGAGTACCTGAAAATTAATCCACAGCACACGATACCCACCCTGGTGGACAAGGGCTTCTCGTTGTGGGAATCGCGTGCCATAATGGTGTACTTGGTGGAGCAGTATGGCAAGGATAGCACTCTGTATCCAAACGATGTACAAAAGCGGGCGCTTATCAATCAGCGCTTGTACTTCGATATGGGCACACTGTACAAGAGCTTTGCGGATTACTACTATCCGCAGATCTTCCGAAAGCAAGCGCCCAATGCGGAGTGCTACAAGAAGATTGAGGCTGCTTTTGAGCTGTTGAATACCTTGCTGGAGGGCCAAAGCTATGCGGCGGGCGATTGTCTAACTCTGGCGGATATATCAATCTTGGCCAGCGTCTCCTCCTTCGATGTGGCTGGCTTCGACTTTAAGGGTTATGGCAATGTGGCCAGATGGTACGAACAGGCCAAGTTGGAAACACCTGGCTGGGATGTCAACTGGGCGGGTTGCCTGGAGTTTCGCAAATACTTTGACAGCTAGAATCTCGGATCCATGCTGTTCCTAATGTTTCAAATAAAGAAAGCTTCATTTATTGCACTTGGTTGTTATTAGTGAGGAGGAGCTACACGCTAAACATTGCACTTGGTTCACTTAACAGCTAAAACAGGGAGTTCGACTTGCTGAACTCCAGGGGCCGGCGAAAGGACTGCTCCAAATTGTGCAGCCGCTGCTCCAGATCGTTCATCGAGTTGCGCAGCGCGTGTCCACGTGGACGTAGCGAGATTTGCGGCGAGTGCTGCATGAGGTCATCCTTGACGCCCGAGAAGGAGTGCCGCACGCAGGAGGAGCGCTTCTCGAACTTGGTGTTCTGGTAATGCGGATGCTGGTGCTGATGCTGGTGCTGATGCTGATGCTGATGCGCACGATGCTCGCAGCTGCCGTTGCGGCAATTGTGCGCCACCAGCGGCTCATCCGTTTTCAGTGAATCCTCGTAGGTATCACTGCAATGGGTAGCGAACAAGTGTAGCCAATTGAGTTGAGCTGATGGTCTGGGTGAAGGCCACCTACCTGCTGTCCGTGTGGGGCTGCTGGCGCAGCTCCATGTGCGCCTTGGCGTGTCTGGGACAAAGCAGCTCCGCATTGCTGACCCGCTTGGAGCCGCTGTGCTGAAAGGAGTCCGGCGAGGTTTCATACAGCTCGCGACTGCTGAGGAACTCTACGCCCGAGTCCTGGCCAGTGGAGTGCAGCGAGAACAGCGACGTTTCATAGTTGTTGCTAAAAGAAGTCGGTTTAAACACGCATGGCTTTAAACAAGATTGTTAACTTACAGATTGTTCACTGGCTGACAGGAGTTGTATTTAAGCACAAATGGGGCATTCGCATCGGCTGCAGTAGCTGCCGCCGCGGCCGCCGCCTTGGCAATGGACTTGGGCAGCGGCACGTCTATATATTCTCGCTGGCACTGCTGCTGCTGCTGTCTGGAATTGGAGGCATTTGGCTTAATTTGGAACCAGTTTCTGATGCCTGCTACTCACTCGTTCAGGTACTGATGATGCTGCTGCTGTGTGACCAGCGCCTGCTGCTGGTGATGGTGATGCAACTGCTGTTCCAGTTTCTCTGTGGCCGCTGCCGTCGACTGGGTTTGCGCCGAGGAGCACACCGACTCGTTCAAGAAGCCGCTTGTCGGACGCTGCTGTCCGATGTTGCTGCTGCCCTTGCTGCAGCGCTGCGTGTGCCGCTGCTGCCGCTGGCGCTGGCGTCGCTGCTGCGACCGGGACTGGTTGACGCCGGCTATGGTATAGGCAAGACCGGCTTCCGAGGCGGCAAAGTCGCGCTGTGACCAGAGCTGACTGCAAGCAGATGGTAGTGAGAGGGTATGATCAGATTTACAAAATGGCTTTGACATTCACATTCACATTCACATTCACATTCACATTTGAGTGGCAGTTGTCAACAGTTCTGTAGAAGCTAAGCTTAATTGCCAGCTGTTTGGGCTGCAGTTGCAGTTGCAGTTGTTGTTGTAGTTGTTGTTTTTGTTTTTGTTGTGCGCTGTGATTTTTTTTTACAGTTAGAATTCCAACGGCCAGGTGATCGGCAGCTGCAGCCGGTTTTCCAGAGCACAGCCAACAACCAAAAACAACAACAACAACAACAACTAAGTCATTTGATCTGCACTTAAAGAGATTTATTAGACGGCCTTAGACTAAGCATGTATATGTATATGTATGTGTATGTGTATGTGTTTGTATGTTAATATCTATGGATAGCACAAATGCATCTATGAGCTACATTAAAGCGCCCGTTTGGCAGTCTTTCTGTTGCAGTTTTTATGTATTTTTTTTTACCGTTTCTGGCGCATGCACAGGTAACAACAGGCAGCTATAAGTGCGCCCAGGCTAACCAGCGCCAGCAGCACCAAAGTTACCAATTCCAGGCCGCCCATAAAGCTGGAGGCGGAGGCGTGCGTGGGACGCGGCGCCTGCCCGAACTCGGCCAATTCGATGATGCGCGGCATTGTCTTGCTGCTGTCCCCTGTCTGATGCTGAAGCTGCTGCAGCTGCAGCGCATCCAGTTGCAGTCCGGCCAAAGACCTATCAAATCATAGAAATTAATCATTTTTGGATTCCAGTCGGTTGTGTGGGCTTATTGCTTACTCTTGCAGCTGCTCCATTTCCACAATGGAATTGGTGTGTGGATCGACGGCATAGATGTAGGCATTGGTGCTGTGCATAGGTATATATAGAGATGTAGACTAATGTTAATCTTATACTTATGATAATACAAAAGAGTTCGGTTTTTGTCTTAATACTTCCTACGATCCTGAGCAGTTACTCAGTTTAATAAGACATTTCCTGACCGATGTAATGGTATTAGGAACACTAGATATCATCTAAGAAAGACATTGAGACCGTATATCTATCTGAGAAAATTGGGGAAGATATTGAAACTAATTCTTAATCAATCGAAGCAATGTAATTCTTAAGTTTAGTTAAGATATAAATAACTTGGGAAAAAACAGAAGAGTGTTTCATAGAAGAGCTGTATATATGAAAGATTGTTCCAATGGGTGCCATAAAATAAAGTGTTCCTATTTTGTAAGGATATCTTGAAACCCGCAACAAGTTTGATTGAGCAACAAACTTGTTTCGACCCAGCTTCTTATACGATAAACTGTAAAAGCCTGTCATTTACGAGAATTAATATGTATGTAGACAATTGGCCTCGAAGACTCCCTTATTTGGGAGTATATACAAATTTCAGTTGATTCAACTTACGCCACTTCGGTTCCTCCAGAATTGGGTTCCAGCAGCCGCACGCGCACATCCTTGCCAATGGCAGAGCTGAGTGCATCCATTAGGCTGTCTATGCGACGCTCGACATCTACCGGCATGCCGGCCACCACGAGACGCACCTGCTTGGCCTCGTCTATGATGTACACAAAGACATTAACAATGCCGCTGCGTCCGTCATCGGCACCCATGCGATCGGTGGCCTTCACATCGAAGCCGTAGATGCGCTCGTCCAGTGGCAGATCGCCCAACAGACGTATGTTGCCCGTTAGGTCGTCGATGCCAAAGAGTCGAGTGGGCTCATTCAGCAGACGATAGCGAATCTCGGCATTGAGGCCCTCGTCGGCGTCCGTGGCTGTGACGCGGGTCACGTGGTAACCGAAACTGGCGCTGCGGGGCAGCACGGCCACAATTGGCTGTCCGTTGCCGCGGAACTTGGGTGAATTATCGTTTTCGTCTGCGATGCGCACCACAATGCGGCACTCACTGGGCGAGAGGCCCTCAACGCGCTCATCGACCACCGGATAGGATACCTTGGCGTAGTTGCGTGCCCCTCGACTCAGGCGATCCGCGCGTACCCGGAGCTGATAGCGTGCGATGTGCTCCCGATCAAATGGCTTGAGGGCGTAGAGCAGCATATTCTTGGCATCGTATTCGAACGGTGGATGAGCATCGGACTCGTCCAGACCCTCCTCCAGCCACAGTGACCAGCGATAGTTTTCGGCATTCAAGTCAGCCGTGAGGTTCAGACGCATTACCTCAATAGGCGCCTCATTGTTCTCCGTCAGCTGCACGTCATAGTACGGATGCTGGAATATGGTCACATTGATCGGAATCTCCGGCTTGGGTGGCGGCGTTGGCTCAGTAACCGCCTGGCCCTGCAAATTGATGAGCACCACGGCGGTGGCCGAGAGCGCTGGACTGCCCAGATCTGAGGCAATAACAGATACATTGAGGTGCTCATAATCATTGTAACCCCGTATATTTGACACCGTGGTGATGGTGCCGTCGCGGGAATCTATCTGAAAGACTGGCGCATGCAGTTCCTGATGCAATATGGAGTAGAGCACCAGTCCATTGCCGTTGCCCACATAATCCTTGTCGATGGCATTCACCTGCTTGACAAACATGCCCGGCAGCGTGCTACGATCCAAATACGCCTTATAGACAGGCAACATCATGGTGCGATCTGCCAGATCAGCTATATACTTGATCGCCTTGGTCTGATCGTCGTAGCCAATGAACTCGGGACGATTGTCATTGATATCCATCACATTCACCTCGATATCGACGCTACTCGACAGACGCTGCATGGGCTCTGCATTGTCGCTGGCTATCACCTGGAAATTGTACTTGGCACGCAGCTCCCGATCCAGCTGGCCGTTGATCTTCAGCACGCCCGAGGTGGGCTTCACTGTGAACGGCAGCTGCAGGTCACTTAGAGAATACGTTATGTTCGCATTCTCGCCGTAATCCATGTCAATGGCCAGCACCTGGCCCAGTACACTGTCCTTGTAGTCGCCCTCGGGTGTGTCAAAACTGTACCACGACTTTTTGAAGGCCGGCACATGATTGTTCACATCGATGACCGTGAAACGCATGCAGGTGGTGTCCTTGAGGCCGTCTATATCGGTTACGCTCAGATTCAGCCAGATCTCAATGTTGGCTGCCAGCGGATAGTTGACCGTCAGCTCGCCGCTTAGCTTGTCTATGGCAAAGTGGCGTACGGTGTGCAACTTGATCATGGGCATGCCCGGTGAGCGTTCCACCTGCTCGCCGTATAGCTCGTAGTGCAGCTGGGCATTCTTGCCAAAGTCTTCATCGCTGGCGCTTAGCTGCAGCAGCTTGGCGCCCACGGGCGTATCCTCATAAATGGCAAACAAGGGGCATTTAACTGGAATGGCGCGTGCCATACGACGGCGAGATTTGGCGCGACCCACAACGCCAGCGCCAGCGACGGCTCCAACCGCGCTGCCCTTCTCCCTCTCCATATGCAGTCTGGGGGAGCCGGGTATGTGATATGCGGGTGGAGCCATCATCATGGCATTGGCGCCAGCAGGCGGCAGGACCATGCCATGCGAGCTCTCCACAAAATAGATCTCCATATCCGTATTGTATTCGCGAATTTCCAGACGCGAATCCTTGAACACGGAAATGCGCTCAAACATTGGTCCATTATCATTGACATCTGCCACAAGAATCGTAAGATGCGCATAGCCCGAGAGTCCACCAGTGTCCGCGGCCACAATTTTAAGATTGTACAGCTGTTGCTTCTCCCTGTCCAGGCCGCGCTTACCAGTATAACTAATCCGGAAGTAAGGACCGGTGCTAAGCTTGAAGTTTGACTGCATGAAGGAGTTGTGCAGCTCCTGGTACTTGAACTCCTCGTTCCACTGATCAGTCAGATTGAATATATTGAAAGCACCAGTGCTTTGGGCCAGCTTATGTTGGCTGGCATTTTCGCCAATGCTGGCATTGACATACTCAATGGTGAACTGATCGCTGGAGTCGCCCTGGAGTTGCACGCGGAACTCGGCATTCATGCCCTCATCGGCATCGGTGATTTGTATGGCCTGGTTCATGGATAGCTCTGTGCCCACGGCGCAGTTCTCATTGATCAGGCCAACATAGGTGAGCGCATTAAACTTGGGTGCATTATCGTTGACATCGTCCACCTTGATGTTCACCTGATAAATTCCCGCTCCGCTCACCAGCCCCGTGCTGTACTCCACTATCACTGTGAGCTCATAGCTGGCCTGCTGCTCCCGATCCAGTCCGATCAGCGTCAGCAGGGTGCCATCTTCTGTAATGGTTATCTTGTTGATAACCTCCTGTTGATTGGCTATAATATAGCGCAGCTTCAGATTTGTGTCCCCCGCCAGACGGCGCGGCAGCCGTCGCTTCGATTTGGAGTTGCGACTGCGATTACGACTGCGAAAACGGCTGCCCATGGTGAGGTTGCCGCTGCCCGCAGCTGTGCTTAGCTCACGAAAACTGCCCAGCTCGTTGTTGGCCACATTCAGCGCATTCTTGTAGAGCAGCTGGCCTATAATGCCGCCCACCAGATTCTCCTCCACATGGAAGTTGATTATATTCATATTGATTTCCCTACAAAAGAAAATGGAGTACATTACGCGATGCAACTGAGTCCCAAGATCCGTACTCACTCTATGACAGGTCGCAGTGGCACCTTCTCCGGCTCGGGCTTGTTTACAATGTGGATTGTTAAATTCGTTATAAGCACACCCTCATCGCTGAGCTCGGGTGAGGCTGCTGTAGTCAGCGGCAGTGAGCTGCGTGAAGCGATCAGCGGCTGCGATGAGTTGGCAAAGAGCTGAAAGGAATTTAAATTCCGTTTTATACACATGTGCATCTTCCGGTATTCCTCTGTCTACTCACATAATTGGCCACCGCTTCAAAGTTATAGATGCGCCTCTTGAATTCCGATAGCTCACGTATGACTGTGATAATGCCCGATCGCTCCTCGATTGCAAAAGGCACGCCCTCGGAATATGTGTGCAACAGATCGTACATTATCTCGTCCTCGCCATCGTATATCAATGTGGTGCGCACCTGACCCACAGACGTGCCCAGCGGCGTACTCGCGCCCACCCAAAATTCATAGGGCGCGCCCACAAAATCGATCGCCTGATCATCGATCGTTGCATAGACTTCGATGGTGATGACGGCCAAGGAGAAGCGACGCTCTGAGGGATTGGTGGGCTGATCGCTGGCCTCCACAAACACCGCGATGCGACCGCGTCGCAGCGGACCAGCCACATAGATGGTGCCGTTTTTGCTGTCCAGCCGAAAAGGTATGTAGCCGCTGCCCTTGGGCCGCTGTAGCTCGTAGAGTAACTGACCGTTGGGGCCATCGTCGGGATCGTGAGCGGCCACCCGACCGATCTTAGAGCCCACAGCTGCCGTTATGGGCACCTTAAACTCGTACAGATTACCATGATCGAACTTTGGATTGTTGTCGTTGCTGTCCAGCAATGTGATGTCCACTCGCACCATGCTGGGACCCGGTTTCTTCAGATGCTTGTCATCCAAGTAGGAGGGATTGCGTTCCAGTGCCTCCACCTTCAGCTGTATGGATCTGCGTTGCTCTCGATCGAGCAAGCGGTCATCGCGTACAGTTATCCAGCCGGTGCGAGAGTCAATGCGAAAGGCACCAGCAGCTGTTTTATTCTCGACAAGATTGTAGAGGAACTCGGAGTTCTCGCCTTGGTCCCGATCAATGGCGTTCACCTGCAAGACGCTGAAGCCCGTGGGCAGATTCTCCACAATAGATATGTTGTAGAAATCGGCCTCAAACTCAGGCACATTGTCGTTCAGATCAAGCACCTCCACCTCGATGCTAAGACAGAATTGTGGATAAGGAACGGCAAATAGATATTTATTTGAGATGTTGGATACTCACCGTGCCAGAGCTTTCTTTAGTGGATTATCCTTTTGTCTGGCCTCCAGCTGCACCACAAAGGTATTGCCCGGCAAACTCTCCTCCTCCAGGTCAATCTCCTTCTGCAGATACATGACTCCGTTGTGGGGATTCACACGGAACAGCTGACGCTCATTGCCAGAGATGATGTCATAGACGAGTGTGGCATTCAATGAGTCCTGATCAAAGGCCATGATCGGTGGCGCAAAGTACAGCGGAATGCGTATGGGCATGCCGGTCATTGGATAGAACTCATTGATCTTGGTGCGATAGACGCCCTCGGTGAACTTGGGTGGCAGATCATCCACGTCGCGCACATTGATTGTGATCGTGGTGTTGGCCTGATTGGCGGGCGTGCCACGATCCCAGACAAAGATTGGCAGCTTGAACTGCCGTATGCCGTTATCAAAGTCCAGCTCACGTTTGAGTATTAACAACGGTCGGTGGGGACTTTTCAGGGCAAAATACGGTCTGCCATCGGCGGAGAGCTGTTCTGGAACCGTTGACATGCTGAAGTGCACCTCCGAGTTGGGTGTATTGGGCTTATCCCGATCGAAGGCCTGCACGCCCTGAAAGATGATGCTCTCAACGGATGTATTTTCATCCACATCAACCACATAAGGAACATTAAGAAACTCTGGCGCATTGTCGTTGACATCCTCAATGTAGACCGTAATGGAGAGGTAGCTACCCTGTGGTTGGAATTATTTGATGGGAATTTATAGTTTCTACTTGAAAGGGAATCTTCGGTTAACGAACCTCCTCAAGCTTTTCGTTCCTGCCAGAGCAGAGTATGCGAAACTTGAGCAAATTTCGGGGCACATCGCGATCCACGAGACGCTCCAGGGAACGCGCCAGGCTCACCACCAGAGTCGTGGAATTGTATTCCGTTAGATTAAAATACTTGTGATCGGCGCTGGCGTCGGCGCCCTTAAGGGCCACGCTGGAGCGTGGATAGGCCTGCACGCGTAAGATTTCTTTGCCCACCTGGGCGTCCTCACGTAGCCGTATGAAGCGCACACCTTCGCTTTCCGTGGCAGCGCCATCTAGCGAGTGGAAGACACAGCTGCCGGAGCCCACTAAAGTGGAACAGTTACAGATTAAATACAATATAGACAAGAGCTGCGATTAAGATACGCTCAAAACAACAACAAAAATCAACGTTGACAAATTATCTACACAAATTTGTTGTTTCTCTTTTATTTGGCATGCTAATTGCGAGCTGAGAACCGAAAACGGAAAAAAAATAATATAACAACAATTGAAAATCTCCATAAGGCAACGTGCGAAGCGAATCGTTGGGCCAATTGTTTGAGGAACTGGCAAACAACTAGCCGAAACTTTCTACGTTTGTCGCGTGGCTGGGCGCTGCCACGCCCACAAGCCAACTGTGATTTTCATGAGCAATTGCAACACTTTTCCACATGCATTCAGCTGTCGCAGTTGCAGTTGCAGTTGCTGCTGCTGCTGTTGCCATCTCTCATCTTGCTGCTGCACTGCAATCAACGAATTATTTTAGCGTTAAGACTTGCGGGTCGGTTCCCACCCTCATGACATAATTAGACAATGTTTTGTTTTATTTTTGCTAGCCCCAACAACTGCTGCACTGCAGCCGGGGCAACCGAATGTGCCCCAAGTGACAGGCAACCGCACAAAAGATGCGGCGCCCGTTGGATTCCAGTCTGGGCTTGGGCCGCTTGTCTCTTGGCTGACGTACTGCCTCAGTGGCTGACTTTCTGACATTTTTTCGGAGCATCTAGTACACGGCGGCGAGAAACTATCATTTCAGATGTCTTTTTGTCTTTGCTGTTTATTGTTGTTGTTGTTGTGGTTGTTGTTGCCTTATTATTGCTGGAGTGAAATCTTCGCAGTCTTTCGTAGGCTTTACTTGTTTATTGTTAGTCTTATTTCATTTTTTTTTTAAGTTTTATTGTTGTTGTTGTTGTTGTTGCTGTTGTAGCTGCCAGCTATTGCAATTTGAGCTGCAGTTTCTATTTACTTGCAGTTTCTAGCTCGTTTTGGTGTGAACTCGGATTATTGCCAAGCACATATATATATACTTAAAATGCATACAATATGGAAATGTACCATTGCAATTGTGCCACAAGACTTGATTGGGCCGGAAATGCAGGTGGAACAATTCAGCTGGAGTTGCTACAGTTTCATCTGAACATAGCTAAGATTGAGAAGAAGCCAGCGCTTAAGGCAGGTAAGTACAATAGGTATAATACCACATATCTATTTATATTTAATTAAAACAAGTGTTTCAATGTGCCACCAATTTATATTACATTCACGATCTTATCTAATGTATCTCAACTAATAGTTAAATTGAATAAGGTATGAGGATTGGACCCTGTCTCTTATGTTCCAGACTTAAGCAATGAAATTTGGTTTTTACTTATAAAATGATCGAATTAACTGAACCAGCAATTTTCTCATATCCTTTAAGAATTATCTCTATACATATGAAAAAGTTTATCCCGACTGACTGCCTGCTAGAAGCTGAAGTTTTCATCTTATGGGTTGGAGCTGCACGTTAAGACAATCGGAATGAAACTCATTTACAAAGATCTTTGCTAAATCCATTCCTGCTTGGAAGAAATTCAAATTCATTTCCAAAGATGAAAACTCATTTGAGACGTGTTTCACACTTTTCGCAGAATCCAAGCTTCCTTTGTGAAGAATATAGATTCAAAGAGTTTTTGGCGAAGTTTAAGTTTTGCCCGATTTGCTTTAAACTTATTTTCCACCCGCATCGGATCGGAAAAGTAATATCCATAATTGTGGGCACAAAACTGTGCACGGGCAAGACCAGGGAATACATATCAAGATATCCAATTTCTGGTACATCAATTTTAATTTGTTGCACATAATTTTTAAATTTTATACCGAAAAAAAGTAAGCAGAAAAACAAGTTATTTATGTAACTGTGGCTTATCCGTTGCATTGTCAACGTCCAACTTTTGCTTCACATAATTCCCACAATCACTTAATCGATTTATATCTGGTGCATTTAAAAGTAACAATCAGTCCAGCATCTAAATCGTATTGTAACACTTTAGATCCATGTGTCATAATTCTCACATAGATCTAGATCGCTTTGCATCTTTTAACTATACACAATGTGTGGCACATTCACTGTCAATGCTCTCATATTATCTTAATGGTATATAATTTGAGTGCATTTCACATTTATGCTAAGCACAGTGCACAATCAAATGAGTGCGTTGGCTAAGAGGTGAGCAGTTGGGGAGTCATTGGGGAGTACTAGTTAAGCATTAAGTTCAAGCGGCCAGTGCTTTATTTAGTGCCAAGCTAGACCGAGACAATTAAACATACACACACAAATTAAGATTTAATTAGAACATTGCGGCATTCTTTAAGTGGTTCCAGTTAACCATTTCAACTTTGTGCGCCGCGACGTGTTTTCCCAACGTTTTGGGGCGTTCTCTAAAGGTGTCATAAGGTGTCGCCACAGTGAGGTGCCGCAGGAGCTGGTTGGGAAATGGGCCAACAAGTTTTGGCACTGTCGCAGAAGGCGTTGGTAAGCGATCAATTCAGTGGAATATATGTGCCACATGTTGCATCAACAGACAACAAATTGACCAATTGGCACACACTGCAATGTTGGGGCTTCGACTTCCTAGTCGCTTATCGCCGCCGACAAATGTAAATTTACGGCGTTCAAATTGAAATTTGGGTTATTTAACGGGACAAACAAGTTGGCCAATGCAACAAAAAGCGTGAGATGAAAGACATCAAGACTTTGGATGTTGTCAAGCTGCATTGACAAATCCACTCGGTGGACAGCACGCACAACTCTCTAACACACACACATGCACACAGATACATGCACACTCACTAACAAGGCCTAAACGACTTTTTGGCCCGCAACTTGCCTTGCACTGGTCCCGTTTGAGCCGCAGCTACCCACAGGAACATCAAAGAGCTGAGGCAGGCGGCATAAACAAGGCCCATGGCCATATTTTGACACATTTTCAAATCGCACGGATATATTCGGAAATTTAATATTGGCGCGCGCGCACGTGAAGTTTTCGAATGCGTTTTTGCAAAGCGTTTGAATACAATTTCCCACACACCCTGCACACACGCACACACACACTCACATCGCGAACAACCAGCGCAAACAACCGACAACGCAAACACCTCACGGCCAACTGAATGATGTGCCCGGGCCGCAAGCTCAGCCGAGCCAAGCCAAGCTGGGTCTCTATGTGAACATGTGAAGCGACTAGTTTTGCTGCAACAACAACAACAACAGCAACAACTACGACAACAAGTGCAACAAGTGGCAGGAAAATGAAAATCTTGCAGTGGGCGCATCCACACAGTCTGGGTCAAAAGAATGAGCAGCAGCCGGTCTTATCCTGGACCTCGCTGCTGGCCGAGAGTAGCTGACATGTGGAGACGTCTTCTAAGCACCGTTGCAGCTTTGTTTCGAAAACAACAGCCAAAATGGGTTTTGGCTTGAAAAGAAGACAAAAGAAACAAAATGAAATGGAAAAGAAATGGAAAAAAAGAAAGAAGGAAGACCAGCCCAGAGGCAACTACAACAATAACAACAACAACAACAACAGCAGCAAATGGCAATAGACTTTGTAATAATAAAAACAATAAACAGCCAAACTTATTAACATAAACACGCAGCAGAAGCAGAAGAAGAAGCAGAAGACGAGGAAGAAGCACAGGTGCTGTAGGCGTGCGTGTCCGACTGGGAGATACCCCGTGTAATGTGTGGAAATGCAGTGAAAAAAATGTAAACTTATTTGTTGACATTCCCTTCAATGTATATCTATATAGCCAAGTGATGTAGACGTGCATGCTCAACTAGGATATACCCTGTGAAACTGTGTTGAGAAAAAAATATCACAGATCAACACATAAAGAAAGTAGCACAGCGTAAAAGAGTTGGCTAGTTCAACTCAACCAACCAAGAATGATGTCTCCGGCTGCCCTGTTACATATACTTGCACAAAACCTGTATACCTGCTCTACTACACATTTTCAATGGGTATGGGACATATAGAGCGCAAGGTGCGCTTGCTGAGCTTTAGCGCCCAGCGTTCACGTTAGCCAGCTCGGCCATTAGCACGCCCCATACTCAGTAGCCGAGAGGGCAGATCCCAACAAGATCCAACCAAGCGCAGCTGCAGCTCAAAAATCAAAATAAAACACTCTGAGACAGTGGCCAACAACAATGCAATAAGCTGGCATCGAGCAGGGGCCAGATGAATGCACTTGCTTAGCATAGAGTCAAAGCCAGGCCCAGATACAGAGTTATAGCCGGAGCCATAGCTGGTGCAAAGGCGTCTTAACGGTGCTGGTCATAGCTGGAGATGGGCTCAAAGAATGCAGCAGCGAACGGGCCGAACACGGCGAGCAACAAGAGCAACAACAAATGATCTCAAGAGCAGACTTAACAACAGCAACAACAACAGCATTTGTGGCTAATAGCCTTTACATAACACCTGACTGGAGCCGATGTTGCAGCTGCAGCCAGTTGGCGGGTAGCAGGCGCAGATGCCGGAGGGGGGGCAATCGTCGTCCGCCCAGCGGCTTGGAAAATTGGCGCGTGCGAAGGCTCCTGCACTTGCGGTTGGCAGCAAATACTCAATATACGTCTGTATGCTAATTCGCGAGGGCAGTCCAAGCAGTTGGCAGCAGTTGAAATCAAGCGCAGCAGTGAAAGGAGGAAGCAGCGCCAGTCCAAACAACATCAGACAAAAGTTAATTTGACTATGCGCATCATAAAATCGGATTACGAGTTTGCCCTAATAAGTTATGTGTTGCTCAAGTCCTCCAAAACCAACAACAATCAATTGCTTTCTGCTTTATTTTAATCGTAAATGATGCAACACGATTCCATTTGATATGCTTTGTTGGCTTAAAACACTATCGAATTTTGTGTAGGCATCACATTTACACACATGACCTGGTCAAAATGCATCGCATGGGTGTCTGATAGAACTAAGATGTTTAGAGATCGCTGTCAATTTTATAGGTAAGCAATAAAAACTAAAGAAATCAGTTGGAAAGGGTTTTTATATCTGCATCAGGAAGAAAATCTGAGTAGATTTAGCTATGTTCGTCTATTTGTGTATCATACATGAATCTTTCTCTATGCAAAATAAGTTTTTCTACTTTCCATCTAAAACTTAGCATAGGTTCGTGTTCTTTTTCATCATTAGATGAAATTGCTCCTAATATCAGGCCAAAATCTTACCATTATATCTTATAGGAACGATCGGGAGGAAATTGATTTGTACACATATAAAAAGATCGTTGGGGTTAAAACGGTAAAACATATATATTTGATGGGATATAAAGTACTTGGCACTCTAAAGACAAAAATTCTTAAGTGTTTAACTATAAATGTATAAACTCTCTCTCTCTCTCTTTCTCCCTCTCTCCCTCTCAATCCATCTCTCTCTCTCTCTCTCTCTCTCTCTCTCTCTCTCTCTCTCTCTCTCTCTCTCTCTCTCTCTCATAATACTAGTAAATGCAATTTCGTTTTCTGTTATTACTTCTCAGGATACTCTCTCCTTTTCTCTTCTTAAATATCTTATAAATACAGGCTATGGATATAGTTATTAAATTAGCAACTCCATTTTCGGCTAAGACAAAACAACATCTACCCAATAGTCTGGCTGTTTAATCCAGGATTCTCGTCATACAGTAAAGGTCTCCACGGAATTTCCAGCTCCGAATGCTTTATTTTTCTATTATATGGTTATTACATAATTTAGCAACTATCAAAATGTAGTTCAATGCTTTATTCCAATTATTAGAAAAACAGTTATATTATTACTACTCACTAGTAAATAGTATTAAAGTTGCGAGCATTACAAATAAGTAGCCAAAAAAAAGCAGGTGTCGTCTTTGTTGCAACTTGTTTTGCTTATGTTGGTGGCTTTTGATTTTTTGGCTACTTTCTTATCCAGTTTATGCGCTTACTCAAACACCATAAAAAGAAACAAACAAAAACATAAGATTAAAGACAAGTTCCAATGCAAAGGTAGTCCGAAAAACCCGACTTTGGCAGATAGATGGCGCCAGCACGGCATGGTGGTGGTCTCTGCTAAGCAAATGAAGCAGTAAATGCACAAACCGGAAAAAAGCTCTCAACGCTTCGAATGCTCCACAGTGAACTGCAAAATGATGACAATGAAATTCACGGCATACGAGACGAGAAATAGCCAAAAGGCGTTGTCCAAGTTGAAGAGGCCCAAAATGGAGAACTTCAGGCAATCCACGGGCCACATCAGCAACGGCGTGGGGCGCATGGCCTGCAAACAGAGTGTGCTAAAGGCTAGCCAAGTGCTCAAATGCTCGAGTTTCACCCACCTGCTCTTTGGTCAGCTCCTGCGGCACATAGCACAGCTCCAGGCAGCGTCTACGCAGTCGTGTGTGCCGCAGCTGGCAGAGATGGGTGGCCAGTATCATCGCATAGAGCTGAACGGCGACTATCAGGCAATAGTTGGAAATGGTCAGCGGTATGCCGTGCTGCTCCACAAAGTAGGACATGTAGGCATACATATTGGCCAGAATGTTGATAAAGTTGCCAATGACCAGCAGAAAGATGCCCAGCTGAAAGACTTGCATAAAGTTCTCGCACACCAACAGCAAACGCCGCTCCCGCCGCAATAGACGCTCTTGTTGGCCTGGCTCCTGGGCCAGTTGCTGCCACTGCAGCTCCAGCTGCTGTATGCCGGCTAGCACCAGGAGCAGTGCCCCAAATACGCCGTTGCCAAAAACGCTGCTCATATGCTGCACATAGAGCTGCACGCCATAGGCCAGCAGCTGCAGCCAGGGCAGACGAGCCGCGTTCTGATGCAGAAAGGGCACATTGCAGAGCAGCTCGTAGAGCGAGAGCAATAGCTTGCACCACATCAGAAGAGTTGCCGGCCAGCTCAGCCTGGTCCTGCGCTGTAGACGCGCCAGACCATTCAGCAGCTGCGCCAGTCGCTCACGCTGCCAGATGTGCGCGCCCAGCAGCGCCAGCGATATGCCCACATCGCCGGCCATGGTGGCCAGTGCAATGCGCCTGAAGAGCGTCGAGTGCTTCACGTTGGTCGTCGCGTACAGGGCCACACTCTCGCGCAGCAGCAGCGGCGACAGCGCCAACAGGCCGAGCCACTGCAGCGCGGCGCTGGCCGTTATCGGGCGGCGGCAGCGTGCGCCACGCCCGCAGCTGAAGCTGAGCGGAGCCAGGCCCAGCGTTTGCCACAGACGCAACAGCAGCAGCAGGCACAGTGCACCAAAGTGTGGTAAGCTTGGCATGTCCAATGCGACTAAAGCTCGGGCCAACTGCAACAGGGCTTGCTAACTCCCCTAACGCAAGCACACACACAAACACAACCTTCTGGCCAGCTTGTTAACAATCGTAACTACAGTTATAAATTTAGGTTTGAGTGTGGTTGGCACAGCTCGTTATCGCGCCCCAGAGGCATTAGCGCAATTCCAGATAAGTGCGACAAGAAACACGATCGATAGATACAGATACGGATACATTTACAGATACAGATACAAAATATTTGATACACTAACACACAACTCGTTTATGTATTGTCTGCTCGGCTGACTCAGCTGTTTGCCCCTAGAACCTTGGCTTAACGCGCAACTGAAAACTTTTGGTCAATGTGGACATAAAGTTGGGCATTTCCTTCATTTGGTTGAGCGCCTCGTTCTTCGTATTCGACTGATACTCGTAGGCCACCTTGCGATTGACAGCGGTCAGCAGACGCAACAGATCCACGCCCTCCGGCTGACTGGCCTCATTGGCAGCCGCGCTATCGAGCACCCGACAGAGGCTCTGTATGAACCAGGATCCGTCGTCCACATTGCGAAACGAGAAGTACTCTGGAGATGTGAATAGGAATGCAAATGGCGTTAGAACTAACTAATCAAACTAAGCACCAGCTCTCACTTACTCTCGAAAGTTGAGTAGAAGACGAGCATATCAGCTGTGCTGGGTATGGCATAGGTCACGGGCTGTACTGCTGGAGTCGCTGCTGGCGCTGCAAGATCCCTTGTCATGACCGAGAAGGATGTGAACTCCACAGCCTTTTCCAAGTTCTCGCCACGACAGGCTTGTATAAAGAAAAGTTTCGGTTTGTTCACGAGCGTTTTGCAGCTGTCGCCCAGGAAGGGATTCCACAGGCGCTCAACGGGATAGGACATGTCCTTAAGAAAACCTTTAAAGTTACTTAATGCTTGTATAAATACTTTTAATTTATGCATACCTTAGCATAGACCTTGCCCTCTGAGCCATGCGACATGACAACCAGCACAAAGCAATCGTTTTCGCTGTGATCCTCGCGAGCCACTGCAACCAAAAAGGATTTCTCATGAGCATCGAAACACATGCATCCGATATATCTGACAATGTTCCTTCATTACTTACCCTCTTTGAGCATGTCGGTGATTTCGGCAAAGGTCAGATCGTTGTAGGGCCGAACATCGAACCCAAATCCAAGCAGGGACCGTTCTATATCATCGCGATCCCGTTCGGTGCCCACGCGCTGTTTCTGACCCTTGACATCCTTGTGATTAAGGACCAGGGCTACGCCGGCGCGTGTACAATTCTCGTAAGTATCATCGGTGGTTGGTCTGGAAATAATAATCCGTTTGAGATCCGCCTCCGATGTGGGCGTCTTGGCGATTTGCGTAGCATCCGCTTTGTCTTTCTTGTGCTTGTTTTTGTTGCCAAACTTGAGCGAGAAGTCCGTATCGTCCATGTCCGTCTTTCGTTCAACCCAACTAGTGACTAATTGGGTTTATTTCGAAAGGCAGAAGCTTTCGCTCCAATACTAGTGCTACCAGCTGGTCTTATCTAATCAATGCAGCGCGTTATCAGCACACACTCAACCTCCAAAGCTCCCCAACTCTTTGCTGGCCATGCTGCCTAGACGTTGATTAGCCTGCTTCAAGGGAAGTTCTCTTCATTGCCGGCAATTGGCAGCTAATAAAATGAGTTTTCAGTTGCACGCAGACAATTCGATTTGGCCAACGAGACACGCCCACAATAAAGGTACACCAGTACACAAGTAAGGGCTGTTGTCACAGCCTCAATGGATGCTGTCGTCATCGCTCATGGAAATTACAAACATCCGCCAGCTCTGGCGTCCTTCTGCTTGACTATTAATGTGTTTTCCATAATTTGCAATACGCAAAAAATAGAACCGTATAAAACAGAGTCGCAGCGCGCCAAACTTCGCTACGCAATTCAAATTTAACACGCACACAAAGCAACGGAAACCGGAAATGAGTATGGCACCCAAAGAGCACCAAAGTGTTTCGCCTCACACAGGTTTCTTCTATCAGTACGCTCGTGCCAGTGTGCCCGGACGCAGTGCCCAATTGTCAGTGTGCCGGCACCCAAGTTTACCGTTAGAGCGCTACGTGGTAAGAGAGCGCGTTGCGTGGGCGCTTAAGAGAGCCGGCGCCGGTAAAGAGCGTGCGCTTTGCGGAACGCGTGGCAAACGAAACATTGTTGCAGACTTGGCCGGAATAAAAACTATCCGGCTAATTAATTAGGCTGGATGTTTTACGAAATGCTTTAAGCGCCTCACTTGAGTTCTAGTAAGATGCTCTCAAGGAATTTACATTTATACGTTATTTTATAGAGTTTAACAAAAATATGCTAACTTAGTTTTATCGTGAGCATAGAATGATTCCAGCTGATAAAGCTATGTTAAATTTCATCAGCTCGAAAATACAATTATCTTTCAATTGTCCGCGCACGTCTGCATTAACTCTATGTTCAATTGAATTTAATTATCGCTTTTACATTATACGCTTCATTTCACTGCGCTTTACTTTAATGCGACCGCAGACAAAAATCAAACCGACCGTCGATGGCGATTGGTGATGCGATTGCATTGCAGAGAACAGTCCAAATCAGCAGCATCAGCAATGGCTTGAAGAGAACATAAACACGATAGCAACAGCAACATCATCGAGCGTTGCACAGTGAGACAATATTTTGTGCTAGGAGAAAAACGTACAAATAGTTTTAAAATGTTTCAACTATAAAGAGAGAGTATACATCTTATCTTACAAAATGGAAGAGTCTTACAAAAGGTGTATGATATTGCATTTGTTCGTCTGAACATCCGTACTCATTCAAGCAACTGGACCTAAAGAATACTTTGCTAATACAAAGATGTATTATTGTCTAAGCTCCTATTTAAATTTGTAACGCAATATACCAAAGGTTTTTTATCTGGCCTTTAGGAATAATATTTCTTATCAAATAAGAATATACCAAAATTGATCGGAGTCCTAAAATGGCAATTGCAACAATTCTCTCGCTCAGTTTCACATTCCTATTGGCTAGTTCGTTTTCACACCCGTTACATGCTCAGGGAGCCACTGTGCGGCGCTAGCAGCGGCCGTAGCAGCAAGAGCAACAGCAACAGCAACACACTTGGTTTCATTTCCAGTTTTCAGTTGCGCGACGACTTGCATTGCGAGCGGACGTGTTGAAACGGTGCGGAAGCAAAGCGATTGTTAAATAAAACAGAAAACATAGCAAACGTCGAGTTATTTGAGTGTGTTTGTGTGAGTGCAACTGTGCGTGTTTCGCGAATAATTCGCCTGCAGCACCCGTTTCGTCCAAGTCTTTGGAAGCTGGTGTCTGCCTTTTACTCCGCGCGCGGTGCTTGTTTTCATTTTAGTGATGTTGTTGCTTTTTGATTAAAGGCCTCCCAACAACAACAACAGGAAAAAAAAGAAAAGAAAAAGGAAAGCAAAACCAAACAAAACAAAGCTGTAACAACAACCACAACAACAAAAAAAAAAACAACAACAGCCAAGAAGTGTCTGTGTGCCAAGTGCTAGCTTTGAATTGTTGTTGGTTGCGGCACTTTTTGGGAAATTAAATTATGTTAAGTGCATAAATCGTTCGACGCAGCAAAAGCATCAGCATCAGACACAACAACAGGAGCCGCAGCAGAAGTGAAACGCTAAGGTGCAATCACAAAGTATGTAAAAGAGTTGCAGCCAACACAATACACACACACACACACATGCAAACCTTCTTGCATGATGTTTGTGCATGTGTGTGTGTGTATGCATGCTTGTACATAATGAGCTGGTTTACCCCTGCATACATGTTAAATACATGTGTGTATGTGTGTTTTTTGTGTATTTTTGCTTTGTATGCAAAATGTGTACGACAACAACAAATTAGGGTGGTAGATGAGTAAATGACAAAAGGCACAAACTGAAAACATAAACGAAATCAAATCAAAAGCAGCTCTCGAGGAAAACGAAATCAAAAGCAAAAACAACAAAAAAATTCCTGCACGCTTTTAGGCGAATGCCCGCCAAAGTGCAAAAAAATTGCTGTAAAAAGAAAAGAAAACAAATAAATACGTGTAGGAACAGTTAGCTTCGTAGTAAATACCCTTGCACACATTTGTCAAATGTGGCATATTTATATATTTATTTATTTGGGCAGATAATTCTGTTGCTGACAAGTGTATATAAACGTGTTTGGCGAGTTATTTTAGGAAACAAAAAAGTTTATACTCTCTGCAGGCAGGATTTACCTTCATTTTCTCGTCGATTCTGAGTTTGATTCATATATTTTACACAGGTATCAATATTTGGACCAACGTTTTTTAAGCTAACTGTGTATACTTAGTATACCAATTTGAATGTAATTAACTAGATTATTCATTAATGAAATCTACCTATCTATCTAGCTGAAGGATAAATGTCATAATGCCATATATCTAAAGGATAGATGTCATAATTACAACAGGGTACAAATAATTCTATTCTATGGCCACACAACAAGAACCAGTTTCTGTTTTGATTTTGGCCAGTGTGACCAGCTGCCACTTGCAGTCGCTGAAGCACTTTTCTTTTCCACTTACCATCTATTCTCTTCTTCTTGTCTGCTGGAAAATTGAGTTGAGAGGCACAAATCTAATGAACTCCGGTACAGGACTCTTGAATTAGTGAACACACCTTGTTCAGTAAATATTTAACATACTTTATGACAAGCCCCAGCTGACCAGAAGCATCCCAAGCAGCCAGATGGGCTAGGGCAGGGGCAGGGGCGGTGTTGGGGCAGAGCGTTGTCCCAAAGGCGGAACAGGTTAGGTGTAAAGTGTAGCAAAAATATTTATTTATGTTGAACGTTGCTTGTTGCTTGGCACAAAGGTTGCGCTTTTTGCCACACGACGACCCTTTCATGCTCCCTGGGGGCAATTGGCCGGGCTTGTCGGATTCGCATTTTCGACGTATTTTTTTTTTACATTTTTTTTATGAACTTGGCTCTTATGAAATATGCAAGCTTTTAGCTGCTTTGATAAGAGTGTGAAGGGTCAGGGGTGGTGAGAAAAGGGGGGCAAGCCTGCCAGGATGCCTTGGGACTGCTTTGATGTTGTGTGTGTGTGTGTGTGTGTGTGTGCGTGGGGCGATGCGGGCGACAGGCAAACAAACATTAATTGTAACTGTAAATGGCGTGAACTGCTTGAATGGCTGAGTGAATGAATGAATGAATGAATGAATGAAATGAGTGCATGAATGACAGTCAAGTAGACGCGACTGCCGCAACTGAAAATTGCGTTAAGTGGAGGCAGCAGCAGCGGGAGCAGCAGAAGCAGCCGGCGACAATTTTGATGAACTTAACAAAACACTTGACAGCAACTGTGACAGGGCGAAGTGGCAAGTAGGCGGTGCAACAGAGAGCAGGGGGGGGGGGGGGGCTAGGGGCTGTTCGGGTGTGGGTGAAAAGTGAGCAGAGTCCATGCCATAAACGAAATTATGACGCTAAATTGAACACGAAACGGCCATCGAGCCAAAGAGCAGAGCGAAAGCATGAACCATTCCTAGTTTCAATCGAATCGAGAGGGGTTTCATTTACTACCGCCCATCCCCCCAACCACCATCCCCCACCACCCCGCCAAGCACATTTAACGCGCGAATGAACCAGCGACAGCAACGGCAACGGCAACGGCAACAGCCACAGCAAGCAGCCAAAGGGGGTTGGCGCTGGGCAGTTGGTTCCTAAGCCTGAAGTTGCGCTGGGGTCGTCGCGCCATTGTTGCGGGTGTTGATAACAGCTCCGGCAGCAGCCGGCGGTTGAGCATAACAATAAAAGTCATAATAATAATAATAGACATAGAAATACGGAAATGATTTTTGGGTAGCCAACAAAAAGGGGTTGTGCTTCACACGGCTACGGGTCTGAGTTCTGACTGTGGCTACGGCTACGGCTACGGCTATGGGTTCTGGTGCTGGTTGTGGTTCTGCAGAGTCTGATGCAAGTAACTTGCCACCGCAAAAGCGGAAGGTGAAAATTAAGAAATTAGCGTGCAGAGCTGTCAAATCCAAATGGGGGTAGAGCTGGGAGCTTCACGCAAATTGCCAGCCGCCGCTCACTTTAACTTAATTATATAATAAACGAGACAGAGTGAGAGCGGGAGAGTCCCGGGAGAGCGGCAGCAAGAGAGATATAAGAGCTGCTGCTGGCTTGGTCGGTTTTTTGCCGCGCATTGCAAATTAAATGAGCTGAATGCATTTAAGGCTTAAAAGCCGCCACTGGCGGTTGCCGCAAATCAGCCCAAGCCGACGGCTTAGTGAGCGACGCTGTCTTAAGTGAGTCAGCAGGCAGGTAGAGTCTGGGCAGCAGAAAAAAAGAAGCAGAGGAGTATGTGTAATCCTCAAGCCACAAAGCAATTATGCAGCACCACAGACAAGCAGGCAGCACAGGCAGAGGCGACATCTTGTCAGCCGCTGATAAATTGCACGCCGTAAGTTGTTGCAAGGCGTAGCTCGCAGTAGCGACAGGTTGCAGGCAGCAATTTTACCAGAGGCCAAACCAAAATCCTTTTAAAACGAATTTAAATTTTGCCATTTAATGCCAGACAGCTCTAGCTATACCTCCCAAGCTCCCTCCGTGCCCGCTCACCTGGCCAGCTGATTGTTGCTCTTGCCGCATTCGCTGGTCATGCAACACGCATTGCGGCTCTCTCTCTCTCTCTCTCTCTCTCTCTCTCTCTCTTGGGGGCTATGCATTGCTCGTGGTGGGGTGCATTGATGCGTGTCCTTGATTAGTGTGCCCTGTGGCAAACCCGATTCCGATTAACTGCATGGCTTTTGTAGTCACATTAACACAGGGGCTTAGTTGCGCTTTCAGCTTAAACTGGCCTGCACACAATGCCGGGATTGTTCAAAGGGCTCTTTAAAATGCATCACTTGGCTATGGGAATTGCGATTTTCAGTTTATTAATACTGACTTTAAAAATGTATTTGACATTTTTTGTTACTTAATGTTTTCCGCATGAAAATCGGTTTAGTTTGGACAAAGTTATGGGAGGGTTGCAGTCTAGTAGAATCTACCATATATTCGGGATCGTTTTATACTGATTTCGATTATAGTCTTATACTGATTTGATATCAGGAATTTATCGGAGTTGAAAGTCCAGAATGTGTATTAAGTCCATTTGTGATTAAATGCTGGCATGCCTAGAACCCTAAACTAAACTTTCTTCTAATCTATTGAAATGTTTTATTTAAGTTGACATCTGCAAATAATTCAAATTAATATTTTAAGTATTTTTGAAATTAACATTGGGGAAGGGGCTTTCATATTTTCCCTTAAAGTTAGATACAAATTTGTTTTTCAAACTGAAGTGTCAAATTGATCAACATGAATAATATGCCATTCGGCTTTAAAATCGGTTTATTTACGACAGAGTTAATGGTCTATGTCAATTCTCTAGCTAGAGAATTCTCTAGTGAACATGAAGTAAACAAATCTAAGTTTATTTTATTCAAATTAACAATTACTAAACGAACGATAAATCTGTGTTCGCAGTTTATTTATGTTTATTTGTCCGTAAGTTTTTAATGCTGTACAGTACGCCCTCGCTCAACGTAACCATCGATCCACGCGTCTTTCCGATGAACGCAACACCCAACATTGTAGTAAAAAATCAACTCAGTTAACGCAACAGGAAATCACATTTCTTTTCTTTTCTTTTCATATTTGGTTCATTCAGCATCTATCCAAAATATAGATTTGGGATTTCCACGCATAAAGCATGCGCATCTGTTTGTTTTCGGGTCGATTTTACCTTCATAGAATTTATTTATTTCATATTTCTAGTACAAATTGAATTAAATAAGATTATAACTATTTTCACAATTGGACCGAATATAAAGGGTTGCACTGAGCGAGGGCATACTGTATTTAGTTTAGCGCTAAATACTTCCTATGCTCCAAAGATTAATGTCTTACTTGTCCGATCGCTGTGTTATATCAATGAATAGACTTATTTATCATTTTCTGGGCTCTTTTATCTTCGCTTAAACTCAACTAGCAGCCACGTCGCTTTCAAGGTACAGCTTAAACGCTTTTCGTGCTTTCAGAGCCTGCAAAAATTGATGGGCCAGTTCTCTCTGGCCTCAGCCAAAACAAGCCACAGCACAGAACCGCACACTGTCCTGTCCAGGCCAGTCCAGGCCCTGCCCTCTTGTCAATGTCCAGCTGTGTCTATTTACACGGCTAGCCCTTTTGCAGCGTGCCCCATTCAGGGGCAGCAACGCACACAAAGCAGACTTCAAGCTACAGTGGACAGAGGATTGGACACTGTGAGCCCTGTGCCTGCGCTTCAATTTACGCCTAATCACAGACCGAGTTACTGCCCAGGCCACCCAGTGCTGGGAATTGCTGCTCACTCGGTGGTGGTTGGTTGTGCGGCTTTGGTAAGGCAGCCAGCCAGCCAGCCAGCCAGTGGACGACCTTTCAGCGGGGTCGCGGATTAACATTTGTTGCGCCTGCCGGACTCATTCATAAAAACACACGCAACTAGACTTTAGTCGTTGCCCGGCTGTCCGGTTGCCCTGTTACCCGGTTGCCTGAGCCGAGCGACCACTCCAAGTGCAAGGTTGCATGTCTCGCCGTCGACGTCGACGCTGGCGTCGACGCCTGCGGTTGCAAGTTGTGTGCAGTTTGTGCCACGTC